ACCGTCCTCACACCTGGAACACTTGAAGTTCACTGATCACAACTTCTTACTAGGACTCCAGGAGTTGCATCTTAAAGTCATATATATATGTATATATATGAAAGAAGTTTCAAAACTGGAACTACACAACTGGTCATCGTAACCTGATTTGCTACGGTTCTTTCTATAACTAGATATTCTTTTATGACTTTTGCCAACTTATCGTCTCTTTCACTCATTTTTACTTATTGTTATCAAATAACACATTTCATCATCTGATTCAATAGATTCAATGTATTGTTTTCAGTTTCAGTTTTTAACTATTAGGTTAACACAATATTGTTATTTATTTGTACTTTATTCATTCTATTCTTACTCTAAACAATCCGTAATGCTGTATATGTATATAGATAGATAGATAGATAGATAGTTATTAGTATCCCCTTAATAATCTCTTTCTCTTCTTCTTTGTTTCCTTTAATAAAGTAATGGGACTATACATATACAGTATTTTATTTCCTTGTTAAAATGTATTGTTCACTTATTCCTGTTCTCATTATTGTTTAATTATGTTATAATTTCTTTTCTTTATTTGTTTTAATTTATTTGTTCTTCTATTGTGTAAATGTAGTTCATTTGAAATATGAGAATAGTAGAAATATTAAATGAATATTAAATAGTGAATATATGATTGTTTATGTTTTTTTAATTGTTAATTTATAGAGTTAATTATTTAAATTGGCTTGTTATTATTAAAGAAAGAATATGCTGTCAGTGAAGGAACATTTATTATATGAGATCATAAGATGATATTGATGATGATGAGTAGGATAGTGATTGACTACTTATTCAATTAAAGTTAATAAAAGTCAGTTTTTTTCTTGTTAAATTTTTTTTTATCTAATTAAGATGTATACTGGATTTTCCAATGGATGTTGACCCACCAACAATTGAAGAGATTAGCATGAATATCAGATAAATCAAGAGTGACAAAGCAACAGGACTATGCAGTATTCAAGTAGAGGTACTGAAAGTAGATGTAGCAGTAATTGTAAAGATACTCCACATTCTCTTCAGCACGATTTAGGATGAAAAACAAGTACCAAGAGACTTGAAAGAAGAAATTCTGATCAAAATATCAAAGAAAGGCGATTTCAGCAAGTGTGATAACTACAGGGGCATCACTTTTCTTTCAATTCCAGGGAAAGTCTTTAACAGGGTATTGTTAAACAGAATGAAGGACTCCGTAGACGCTCAACTTCGAGACCAACAGGCAGGATTCCGTAAGGATAGATCGTGTACAGACCAAATCGCAACACTACGGATCACTGTGGAACAATCAATTGGATGGAATTGAAAAGATCTAGAAAGGAAGGCCCAGGACAGAGTGAGTTGGAGAATGCTGGTCGGCAGTCTACGCTCCAATGGGAGTAACAGGCGTAAATAAGTAAGTAAGGGAGGAAGGAAGGAAGATGTACACACATAAGTGAAATATTCTAGAGTTCTCAGGACAGAATATGTACTTATCATTAATACAGATTTCAATTATCTCATTGTGAATATGTGCAACTAAATTTGGATAGGTTTTTGTCGATACATTATAATGATTAGAAGTAATTCAATCAATATTCTAAGAATATTCGTAATAGTTCAATTTAAGACAAATAGAATTAGATAAGCACAAATGAAAGTATTATATTTGGAATCCAAATTAGCGATTGAATCAAATAAAACTGAATCATCAATTAGTACATATAATATACATGTATATTCTGTGTGGACTGTCATGATATAGCCATTTTGTGACATGTTTTATAGACTAAATGAATTATGGTTAATGGTAAGAGCCCGGTCAACTGGATGTACCTGTTTCGTGGTGTCTATTTTCACACTAATACTTCAACCTATTTGTTTGCGATTCAAATATCAACGCGTTATCCTCTAAGTGACTGAGTTCACTAACTTGTTAAAGTAGTATGACATTTATTAGGAACGTTTATTTGTAACGTCCCGTTGTTGGTTTTGAGGATTGAATTTTATATTTAAATTTGCATTTTACGAACATCCGACTAGTGAATATTCAAAAACATACACATTAAGTCTCTAGATAGTAATTACCTGATATTCATTTGTAAATATTTACTATCAGTTTCATTCATTCCCTTTTTTCCATGTACACATACTAACTTTCCTCACCCCTGTGGCTAGAGGGTAAAATGTATCAAATAATTATGCCTTTGTATACCCATTGTTTGATTACCTCGGTCAATTAATTAGGTGTTTCTATATTCTTATGCTGTATCAATGAATGTTATCTATTGTCTATCTTTATCTATTGTCTTATTGATTGAAAATGTTCCCAGCCGATATTTTGTGATTCACATGTAAATTATATATTCCCTCCTTTTGCAAGCATGCCTGATGAATGATCGGCTACTAAGCTACCACGTTTGAAATAAATCACTTCCAATCATATTAGGGATAGGATATGTGTCTATGATTTTGCAGAGTACCTGTCTATCAATTTCCAGTATGGGTGCACTATCTAGCAGTTTTCCGCTTGTTAAGTAAATGAATGTTGCATATAATTTGCACTTGATTTTCATTAGGGAGATTTCATTTAAAGCTTTAAATTTCATTTTCTTTTCTTTTTCTCATCCAGTATGTTTAAATGGGCTACAGTGCCTTGTCGATAGAAGACGTATGTGAATAGCTCCAGATCTTTGTAATGAAATCTCCACTGAATATTACACTCTTATATGCAGCACTGTACCACGATCATGACCTAAAATCGAAAGTGTTTGAGATACTGACGACCTCTTCAAACGCTTTGACATTAATCTAATAATTCGATTATCAGTATGGGGTTGTGGAGATCATTACGTTTTTGATTGATATTATGAACCGACTGATATCAGACCACCATTGAAAACCTGAGAGTACTGGAAGGCCGTTTCGTCCTATTTTGGAACTCCTGAGCAGTGTGCATCCACGATCCCACTCGCGGGATTCGAACAAGATGCCTCTGGTCTCGCACGCGAAAGCCTAAACTCTAGACCACTGGATCGGCCAGCACCCAACGGTGTGGATGTCTGACCTCAATCAACCCACGAAATCGTGCGAGCATCTTCCATTGCACTGAGATAGATACCTGTCTCTACCCGACACGGATTAGCTCCACTGGTCACGGCTTCTCACTAGAACTCCAAGAATCCCCTCATGAAGCTAGTCACTAGTAAGCACATGATAATTACGCGCGAGACCGAAGGCCCTGGGTGAGATCGTGGATGCGCACTGCTCAAGAGTCCCACAATAGGACTAAACGGCCTTCCAGTGTTTTCAGGTTTTCAATTGTGGTCTAACATCAGTCGGTTCATGATCTCAATCAAAAACCTAATAATCTGATTGTTGAAAGGTTCAAAATAATCTGTTAACAGTTATTCATTTCCGATTACCATAAAATGTCAAGGTAAAAGCAATGTGAAGAAAGTAATCTAAGCTATTCATAGAAAAAATTTAATCTCAGCTGCCAAAATTGGACAGCAATACAGCCAATGAGTTCTTAATCATTCTTAGGATATGATACTTTAGAATTTGATATTATAAGCCTCTTGTATATTTCATTTTCACTTATACAATCACATAACTGGATGGTTGGAAACTATCAACAGAAATCCAAGAACCTAGACTTCATGCTAGCTGTCATTAATAAAATTTATCTTAATTGTTATAGGATTCAAATATGCAGTACCCAATACCATTGTTGGAGCCATTAATCACACAGAGCTATTAATACTTTAAATAATTTCTTATAACTGTTTTGTCAGAATTGGAAAAGAAGCTTAGATTATGCATACTTAAATTACGATACATGGTTTTTGTTATTAACGTGACAAGAAGTCAGAAAATCATTTGAAATAATAATGATCTGAGTTTACTTTATCGAGTTCCTGTTTTCACATCATCAGCTTACAATAAGTAACAATTCAGAAGGAACTTAATCAACTTGTACAGAAGTGAATCTGTTAAGAAATCAGTATAAATATGCACTGGTATGATGTAGTGAAATATCCAAATAAAGTTATGAACAATATTGAGTCTAAATTATATCTAATAAATATAATGTATATTTAAGAATCTGTCCTCATAAAATGAATATTATCAGTGTGGAGATTGTAAAGATTGTTTAATGATATTGAAATCATGGATCAACCCAAGTTGGACAACCACTATAAACCTGGAAGCATTGAACATATGTTCCGTCCTAGTAGGTATTTGTGTTCACAATTTACACAAGGGAGAGACTTGAGCTAAATTCTTTGCAGTAGTCGCAAATTGATTCCACTCTGAAATTTTAATTAATGGATGTTGAATCAGCAGTCTAAAGTTTAAGTGGTCGCCAAAAGATTCGAAGTTTCTATTCATAGTAGTGTGTTTCAGTAATAACAGCGACCACTGGTGCAAAACAAATTGTAACATGATTCAGAATCAGTTTTAATGGCTCAGACGCATTTACTCTTGTTTTTACCTCAGTAAGTGAGTCTCAGTACTCCTTCACACATACCTTTTCAGGTATATGGCTCAAAAGGCCAAACTTTATAATTAGGTAGAGATGGATAGTGGCTAGTATTGAAATCTAGGACGAGTGTTTCGTCCTATTTGGGACTCGTCATTTGGATGTACCTGCACCCCGGAACTGACGTTCACTCTGAAACTCAAGCCCAGTACTTTTAGCTTCAAACACCAACGCGTCATCCACTTAGCTACTGAGTCCAGATAATCAGATAGCTTGTGCGGCGCGGCAAATTTAAATTTAAATTCATATATATATATATATATATATATATATATATATATATATATATATATATATATATATATATATATATATATTGGTTGTTTGGATTTGAACTACTGAAGTCTTAGACATCGATGAGAAGATTCAAACAACCAGTATATCTGAAGTAAAATCCTTCAAATTGTCTTTGCTGTCATATTATTTTTAACACATTTCTACTTACCTTTGTAAATCCACCTTCTCGTATTAATGTTGCATGACAACTTTAGCCAACACACACGTATATCATTTTGTGTTGATTATGCCTGACTAAATTGACTGAACATGGTAGAGTAGTGGTTTCGAAATGTTGATCGCTAAGATAGATATTTTTAACACTTCCTAGTTTTCAAGTTATATGTAGTGAATCAGAAACTACCATATCATTTTGCAGATCCCACTCAAATTAGACAACAACAAAAACACACGACAAAATACAACATTTTCAAAATTTACTTTGATGTTTTCAACAAGAAACACAAGTAAACATACAATATGAAAACAAAAAATCAATCTTTTATACCTTGAAACTGAAATTTTCTTCTTCATCATACGAAGTTCTATACAATCGTTTAATCTTAAAACACATACACAAAATGTTAATAAATTGATTCATTCTATTATAAATGCTTTTCTAAAATGTAATATATTCAAGTTAAAATAGAAACATTAGTAGATGACCATTGGGCAGTATTAATAAGTAGTGGTGGTAACAACAAAATTAGTAATATATAACAAAAACACAGAGAAGGAAAAAAGCAACAGAATAGGATAAAACAAAACAGTTTAAATTTTGCTTCTCAATAAGTGGATGAATAAATAATTGGACAGGAAAACAATGATTATGATATGTACGGTGTATTTGTTGTTATAACTACATATATTTAATATGAAATTTCAGAGAGAGTTAGAGAGAGAAAAAAAACAATTTCGATGAACAGAGAGAAGAATACACTCAAAAAATAATGCATTATTGCAAAATTACGCATCATTCTCTGTATTCTACGAGAGGATAACAATGTCAAATCTCGTAATATAAGTAATATAATAACTTTGGAAATCAAACAGATGTAAAACAAATTTAAAGAAAATATTTTAACTACTTATAAGTAGATGACATTCAAATATCGAAATAACTGTGACCTTTAGGGTTAGAATGAAGATTTCAGATGAAACAGAGAATGTAAAATTAAAAATATTACAATTTTCGTTTAAATAATTGGAAAAACACACAAGGCAACTTGATGATAGACTGCCTATGTTACATGTGTTCTCTAAATATTAAGTGAATTACATTACATTGTAAAACAAGAAATATTAAATGATTCACTTGAAAGGAAACGAAAATATCATGAAAGCATTAAAGGAACAAGAAACAAGAAAACAAATAAACAAAAGTATTTCGATATGCATTGTGGGGTTTCATTTAAACTAATAAAAACAGTTTTTTTGATATGGTATACTCAACATAATTTCTTTTTTCACCTGTTTATACATATTCAAGATGTTATATGTATGAAGGCATTCTGAGCATGAATATAAGTCGGAGTGTTTTTTGAAAAGAAAAAATAAGCAATTACATAAAAGAGAAAAATAAATTGAAAAATCATTAAAATAATTAAATAAATAAATAAATATAATAAATGCTACCATAATAGAAAGGTGAATAAAAGCAAAATAAATGAAAGAGATTAAAAGAGAAAAATCACATTCAAAGGTTTTTATAAATGCAAAATTTGACTAAAAAGGAATCATTTTAAAATAAGAAAAGATTGAGAATGATGATATGTAAACTGGAACTATTTAAATAAAACATTATTAAAAATGGCATAGAATTTGTAAAAGTTGAGAACAATGATTCCACTATGTTCGATTCAATAGAAATACATAACAATAGGTCAATGATGAATAGACCCATTCAAAGATTACATACATACTAACAAATGCATGCATATACACACGCACGCACGCACGCACACGCACACACAAAAAGCAATCACAATTAAAATAATAATGAATTCATAAAAGAAAAAGAAAAGAGAAATTCAGTAATATGTGATTATCATAAAATAATTTTAAGTCAACATTATTATTGTTTCTTTTCTAAATCTAAAAAGGATTATACTATTGTATCCCAGTTAAATTCTTCCGACGGTCCATTATTATTATTATTATTATTATTCACAGTTGAGCTGATGTTATTACTATTGTTATTATCACTATTATTGGTCATACTATGAATACTACTAAATGAATTTATGGCAGTATGTTGTGACAATTGTTGACTGACTGGCATATTATTGTTATTAATAGTAGTAGTAGTGGTAGTAGTGGCAGTAGTTATAGTGGACTGACATAAACCTGAATATCTTTGATCGTCTAACAACAATAATCTATTTTGATGTTGATTGTGCGTTAGTAAAGATGATTCAATATAATGAGGAGAAAAAAATGAGGGCGGTGACAATGAAGATGAACGAAGTGTAGTGTTAGATGAAGTACAACAAGGTATATTATTATTTGTAAAATGTTGTGTAATAGGAAATCTAAAATCTGTTGTACTATGCTGTGTAGAATTTGCAATAAATTGTTGTTGTGTTGTATTCAATGAAAATTTCTGTTCAATATTTGATGAGTTAGAATTGTTTGAATGATAAAAAGAACAATTATTGTTATTGGTAATTTGAAATTGTTCATTTTGAGTATTGTGTTCAAAATTACGATCATGCTGTATCAAACGATTATGATTATTTAAAATTGGATGACTATCACCTCCACTAACATTATCATCGTCCTCATGAGGAGCATTAGTCATGTACATTTTAAACTTTGAATTAACACTATTATTATTAAATAATATATGGTGGTTGTGAGGATGATGAGGAGAATTATGCTCAGTGCATTCATCATGATGACGATGATGATGGGAGTGAAAAAATCGACTGGATGATTCATTATAGATTTCTAATGGTGTTGTTGTAGTTGTTGTTATCGCCACCTCCGCCCCTGTTGATTGTGGAAGAACGGTGACTAGATTGATGAAACTTTGTGAAACTGCTGAATTATCAGTTGAATTCATCATCATTAATTTCCTAGAGTTATTATTATTATCATGATTATTATTAGCATTTGTATTGCTTATACTTCGTAATTCTGAATAAACCATATTGTTCTCATTGTTATTCAACGTGGAATCTGTAAAAAGATCTGATTGAACAGGTGAAAAATAAAACGATATAGGATGATTAGTTAATGAATTAATCTTTCTGTTCTGTTCAAAATGGGAATGTTGATGATTTCTTGATGATGATGATGATGAAGATAATAATAATGACTGGGAATTAATAAATTCATTTGATGAATTATTATCACAATTGTTATCATTATGTGATTGTTGAATTTGTGAATGCGACGTAGAATGAATGTCTGTATGTAGTTGGTTTTGATAAGTTGAATTTGAAAATGAATTATGTAATAATCCATCATAGGTTGAATAGTTGTTGTCAGTATAAACTGAATTTAAAATGTAAAGACAAAATTTTGGTATACAGTATCAGTAATCAACATCACGTAGAGATAATACAAATATACAGGTTAATAAAACAGTGAACTGAGAAAAATATATAAATAAAGACCAATAAATACAGTAAAACTATAACTTATGAACTTATGCCTCAAGACAATCATTTAATATCAACGGAGAGAGGGAAAGATAACTGTTTCACATTTGTGAATTAACTTAAATAGGAAAATAGGGACCCGATAGATTTTGATTCGATTATAGCTTGAAGGTAACATTTTTTGGGCAATAATATCTCAGAGGCTTAGGATTGAATTTTGTGTCAAGTTGTGGTACTGTTGCCGAGTTGAGTTCAAACTAAGATGAAATGACTGTCTCAAGAATTTCATAACTTGAAGTGTTTCTCTTCAGATGATATCACTTCAGTATGAAAAATACACTCATACAATACAGAAATCGCCTTGCAAAAATTATATCAGCAGATTTTTATTTGCAGGAGTGTAAAACAAATAAAATAATTACACCATTTGATTGTCTTAGCAGCATTCCACTCTCAATCAACTCATGTACCTAGTTTGTACTTTTGAAATGAAATTAACCTACAGAGATCTAAAATCTGGTGTGTATAGTAGGATAATCTAGTTCAGTGACTGGATTATGAGCTAGAAACTCGAGGACAATTACTGTTGATTGTGTATTCATATTCTTAAAAATCTATTCGCTATCTTTGAAGGCTTTATAACTTTTGCTGAGACAGTTGATCAACTTCATAAAAGCTGTTCTCTTCACAATGTTTCAACTACATAAATAGTCTAATATTTCATGAATTTACTGAAGGCTTTTCACATGTTTCACAATAAATTTACTGTTTTGTTGTTTTTTGTTGCATATATTGGAAAACGATGCGTTGTATAAGATTTAATATGAGACATTATATCATCTATTTTACTTTGTGACTGGCTACATTACAATCTTTGTTGAATAAATTTCAACTACAACCTATTATCATCCATTTTATCGCCTGGTATGTGTGTGTGTAAATTATATACATCAATCAATAATCGAATAATAAAGCATTAACAAAAGGGAAAATGGGGGAATTAATTAAATCATCAAAACATGAACTAACTTGATGTTTTTGGAGCATCAATTTCATTGTGAAATTTCATTGAAGTCCATATCAGATTCTGTTGATCGGTTATTGTCTCATCATGTGATTGGTTATCAACTAGACTAATAGCAGAAGTGGTGCTAAGAGTAGAATTAGTAGTTATAATATTACCAGTGGACTGATTAATAGTATCAACAATAATATTATTCCCACTACTATTCATAATCATATTATCATTAACATTCTTGGAATGAATGTATGGAGTCGAAAATCTATCACAAGTATTTACATAATTAGCAGTAGTATTGGTAGTAGTAGTAGTAGTAGTAGTAGTGTTAAGATGAGACAGTAAATGATCATCATTATTCATAGTGTTATCAGTATGATTTGTCGATTTCAATTCATTCGGCGTAATATTAGTAGTGGTAGTATTATTATTAATATTATTATTAGAATCCGTACAAACTGATGTGGGACCACTTAATACATGGTTTAACTGATGATTGGTAAGATAACGATGAAGATGTCTAGTGCTAACGCTAGTAGTTGTTGTTATCGTTCCAAGAACAGTAATATCGGTAGTGACTGTTGTCTCATCAGAGGTTTTTGGTTGGATTTCAGTCATACATTCATTTTGCTGTGATCCCTTACAATACGTGTCATGAATTGGATTGATTTGTTCCAATGAAAACACGGAATGATGTAGTTTTGTTGGAGAATATTTGTTAACAACACCAATAACATCAGAGGCAAATGGTTTAGAATTGGAAAAAGAATTTGTCGAAGATGATGATAATGAAGAAGTAGAAGTCACGGAATCATTAACAGTAGGTATTGTCTGTTGGATATGATTGAATAATTGATCAAGTGTTAGATTCAACTCCATTAATTGTTCAATAGTTAGACTATTTGGATTTTGACTAACACTACGAATTTTAGATATCAATTCTTTGTGAAACAATAATAAAAGAGATAGAGGACAATATAGCATTAATACAATAGTAATAATAGTAATAATAATAATAAAAGGCATGTAAATAAAACGTTATTAACTTATTTCTACCATTAAGAAGCACTGATCAGATTTTTCTCCCTTGTATGGGACTCCTCAGTAGCGCGTATCTATTATTCTGCTATACTAAAACGAGACAACTGCTCAGTGCTTTTTGGTTTGTGGTAATTGTTTAACTAAGGCCACCACGTGATGTAATCTACTAAATTCAACAATCTTCACAAAACTTGATACACTTGTTTTGGTCGTTGATGCAATGAACAATATCATGTGAAATCCGTTGCATAACTGCTACAACAAAATCGAGAAATTAATGTAACTTACTAATCAAGTACAAGTTTGTGTGTGTATGCAATTTACTCAAATTTAAACTAAATAAACGGAGTTCAAATATATGACCTTATGAGTGAGTGCTAAATGTGACAACTATTAATCCACTGATTCAACATCCCAAAGACATGAAAATAAGAAGAACTAAATTCAAACATTAATGGTTAAAGTCTACAGAAAAAAATACGTACATAAATACTAGGAGACCCAACGGATAAATACTGATTCATAACCAATGAATTAACTACTATTCCGATTAGGAGGTTAACGCCATAAGTCAATGCACAATGGGAAATTATTCAGTTGAAATAAATCAATGCAGGGCCATATACTTAGATTTGTTGCTTACTGTCAATTTTAATCAAGTATCTTCAATTTAGAGAAAACTGGTATTTCTCCTCTTGAAATGCAAAACCATAGTCCGTCATATTCAAAGAACTATTCTAGTTTTTGAGATAAATGTTCGGATCTATAGTGAATCTATTGTTGGTGGATTTAGAATTCCTCATCTTCAATTTCTCCTTTCTTCTTACATCAAGTCATGTCAGTCATGTTACGTCGTAACAAACAGCAAGTAACCAATCATGTCCATAATCATAACGCATAACCATAGTAGTGTTCTATCCAATTGCAACATGATGGTCCAAAGTTAATTAAGATGGTCACCAATATTAATCAAATTTGTTTTAAACCTCTAAAAAAACAAATCAAACTACCACCGCATATATGAGAAGTGTTGGGATGTATATTAAGTAACAGAATTTTATTGGAGTGAACCAACAAATAGTAAAGTCTCATTCAAACAACTGTACTCTTTGATAAAAAGATACATTAAAGTCAAAAAATTAAAAAATATACTGATAATAATAGTAGCGATAACATTATTATCATTATTATCAATTTCATTGTCAATAAAAACACTGGCATAAAATAATTCTATGAATTTCATAAATATCAATCAAAAGAGAACAGTTTCGGCACATCATACATAAGCTCTTAAAGTAAATTGTCAAAAATTGGTCGGTTCTCATGGTAATGTACTGTAATTAGTTTTAATGTATATAAATATGTTCAGTTATAATAAGATATACAAGTAGGCAATTCATAAGCACGCCAATATATATATATATATATATATATATATATATATATATATGGGTGTGGCAATAGGTTAAAACTATGCTTGAATAAACAATGTCATGCCTACTATTAAGCTGATCAGCATATATATATATATCGATTTAGCTCATATAAATATCGTTAATGTTTATACTACTTTCCCAACCAAAATAATCAAACCACAAGAAGTCAATCAATCATTTTTTTGTCATTCCTTCAGAAATATCATAACCATCATCATCATCATCATCATCATCATCATCATCCTCATCATCATCATAAATGGACGATATTATTGAAGAAAAATACCAAAATAATCAATGAAGAAAGAGATTTCATCAATATCACCATCATCTTCATCGCTTAGAGCGTAGTATTTGATGCATAGTCGATATATATAATTAAAACTCATAATTTGCTCATCATTAATTATTTATATAAAATGAAAGTTTGGAAGTCAGAGAGAAGAGTAAAAATAAACAATGAGTTAAAATATAAATGATTAGTTTGTTTTATTCTTCAAGTTAGTAAAGATAATACTGAAATATATACACACAGGGAAATTTTTAAAGGCTTATTGTTTTACAATAATTTACGGTTTAATTTAATCCCATATCAAAAGTTGACACTAAACTACTGTAATATAATTTTAAATCATCACAATTAATCGAGTCGACACAGAAAGAAAACGTGCAGAAATTGCCTATTGTAATTCTATATAGACGATTTATATTGGTAGTATTATGTTCTCTGAGCTAGATAATATAATAGTAAAGCTTTCATTACCATTCTGGACAATATATTTAGGGGTTATTTCAAATAGAAATGAGCTTATTTCATAAGTGGTCATTCTGGTGCTCCTGTTTTTGATTAACTGCCTTTGTTAATTCTGTTGTCTAAAGTTATTCTAACATTCATGTTGACTGTATTTATTGGTTGACCTCTGGGTCTTGAAATTGATTGACCACTTCTGTATAGGTTCATAGATTGGGACTATATCTATGGGCTTATTGATTGTTAATATAGCCTCCGCAAGCTTAAATGGTTATATTATTTTCAATATTTTGTTTATTTATTGGTAGAAAGAGCTGATTACAATTTCGTAAAAACGGTTGTGATGTTGTTAACTATTTCAATGGTATAAGAATAAAATTATATTTACAAAAAATTTAATTGTAGTGAATAATCAATCAACAAAACATTCCTACTTTATATAAAAGCCTGACTGCAGAGTATTAAAATTTCTGCGTTGCACTTTAAGTTAATGAGTTACATAATTTAATCTTTGGGAATTTATTCGTAATTCTTTGGAATATTCTCCAAAAACTAGAAAAATTCCCCCCCAAAAAAAAAACACTGGCTAACCAGTGTTCTTTGGAAACTTTTTGAAAAAATTTAGAACCTAACTTATTATGTTTTATAAATCTAACTAAATAACTCTCAGATTTATTATAAATTTTAGGATCTTTTCTCAAACCTTTTGAAATATTATTGTCACTTATAAGATGCCTAACTCCGAGATCAACAGGCTGGATTCCGTCAGGATCGGTTATGCAGATCAAATTGCGACACTATGGATCATCGTTGAACAATCAATTGAATCGAACGCATTACAAGTGAGGACCGGAGTCAAACCTATACATCTGAGGGGAAGGACAAGATGCAATCAACAACTTGCATGCAACTAGACGGTTTGTACTTTGCGAATGACCTAACCCTCCTATCCCATACACACCACAAATGCAGGTGAAGACAGCCAGTGTAGCAGAAGACCTCAACGTACGTACGGTAAAAAGCAAGATCCTCAAATACAACACAGAGAACACTAACCTAATCACATTTGATGAAGAAACCCTGGAAGATGTGGAATCTTTCAAGTACCTGGTCAATAGCATCAATGATGAACAAGAAGGATCTGATGCAGACGTAAGTGGGAAAATCGGTAAAGGAAGGGAAACATTCCTACAGTTGAACAACATATGGAACGCAAAACAATTGTCAGGCAACATCAAAGCCAGAATCTTCAATATTAACGTCAAGACAGTTCTACTGTACGAAGCTGAAACTTGTCGAACCATTAACACCCAACACCGAAATAGTGCAGGTATTTATAAACCTCAATGTCCGTTGACCAGATTTCATCAGCAACAACCTACTATGGGAGAAAACAAACCAGCTCCAAGCTGAAGAGGAAATACGGAAAAGACGTTGGCGATGGATTGGACATACATTACATCACGAGGAAAGCGCTAGCTTAGAATTCTGAAGGGAAACGGAAAAGAGGAGGGCCAAAGAACATACCGAGTCGTGAATTGGAAGTAAATATCAAAAGAATGAATGGCATCTGGAAACAACTGGAAAGGATTGAGAAGATGGAGAAGATTTGTAGCTCAGGTGGGTGATTTTGATGGAGTTTTGTTCTCTGAGCTGGATGGTTTGTGAACCACATATGGAGAAATCCGAACGCTTCACTTCTGTCTGAAGTTTGTGCTGATGATGTCGTTCAGAAGAACAATGAAAACTCCACGACCAAAACACCCAGCTCATAGAACAAAACTCCATCAAAAACTGAAAGGGATTGCCCAGGACAGCGTTCGATGGAGAATTATGGTGAGTGTCTCTGCTCCTCCACGAGGAGAAACAGAAGTAAGTGATAACTCTATGAATAACTTTGCTTTTGTACATAAAATAAGCTTCGAAATCCAGCTACAATAACATTTTTCAATTGTTTTCCTTCAAGTGTCAAAGTGTATGCAGATCTACAAAGTGGCTAGGAAGTCAATACCTAAACCGTTCAGTGTGCCTTATGTATCACAGTTATTATTTAATTGCAGATTTTCACGCAGTTTATTAGTATATCTTTGATTTTCATTCTATGTCATACGACTTTATGTCTGGTTTACGAGTATTAATTTATCATAATTGAGAAAATTAAAAAGAAACACTCAGAAAAGATAAGTGAAATTCATTGACAGACGAATTGTTTGTGAAAACTCCCTAATATTATCTATAAGTGTATCACAATAAGTATTGATGCATAACATTTTCATGTGATTGTATTTTTAACTTGCTAATTACATGTATTTGTATACGTTTCGGGTTATACAACGAAGCAGTATTTTATTGATAGTATCATAGTCAATCAATAAAATACTAGTTCACATAAATACAATAGTTCAGTGGTTCAAGTACTTGACTTTCTACCTCAGGATTGCAGCTTCGTACTCTGTATCATCTACTACAGTTTGATTAGCTGTCACACATGACTTTTCATAGTGCTATAACCAACCACCACCTACCTCGACGTTTAATATTTACTGGAGTAGGAGTAGGTTGGGTGAAAGCTACAGACAGCCAAGCCATGATGTGGCATCAGTCTATGTAGTCATTGACTGTTGGACTGAGTGCAGTTAACAGATGCTGATTACTATCGTGATTAGTATTTAGACACGACCTCAGTGGAAGATTCGTAGTTGATCTCGATGTCGTAGATGTATTCACCTTTTATTTCTCTTTAATTCCTGAGGTTTAAAATTATCTCCTACTTTTTATTCTTTGAATTTATTCCTCTTAAGTCATTTACTCTATGCTTAGTCTTTTTTACTATAACTAATATAACCGTTATATCTATTTCTTTTCCTATAAATTCTGATAATTTCATCTGGCCGTCATGGTATGGTGTGAGATCTTAGGTTGAACACATATATGCACTGGCTCCATGTTGATTATGATTATAACTGAATAAATTGTGGCTCAAATTCAAGTACATTAATGTACACGTGGTTACGGTGCAATATTAGTTTAGTGTTTGAAGTTGCTGACATATGATAGCTATTGATAAAAAAAGCAATAATTTTGATCTTATGAACCCAGTAAATCATAGAATAATAATCAGTTATGACATCAAAGCCATAAACTAGTTCGAGACTAACTCTCTTTGTTCATAGTGGGTATAGACTAATTAGTAGGTAGACAATAAAAGTCATAACAAGTAATATTAGCAATTATGTCACACTAGAACTATCAAAACCAACCTGGATATTCATCTAGATTGATACTACTCCAATCGAAATTCGTAGCCGCTTGTAAAGTTTTTTGTAATACATAGGTTAAATTTAGTGAGTTATAATTATGATAACTACAATTATTTAATAATCCATTCGATGCTTTTGTAATATTGTTTGCTGATGTAATCAGTTGACGATTCTGATCATTCTGAGAATAAGCTGGATGATATAAAAGTGATGGAGATGATGAATAGCACAAAGAGGAGGAAGACGATAACGAGGCCGGGATACATGACGATGATGATATGAATTGTTGGTTATTATGATGACGGTTATCTGATGACAAATCCCACATTTGATTGTTTAATTCTGAGATATTATTGTTATTATTACTATTATTGTTGTTGTTCAATGAGTGAGGATTACAATAATCAATGATATTTTCCTTATTTGTTATACCAATTGGATCGCCTGTAGGTATTGTTGTCCTTGCCAAGGTTGTCGCTGTTGTTGTCGTCGTTATGTTTTTAAATGATGCTTCATTTAATTTATTTGATAAAAATTGACTAGATAGTTCAGATGTATTTTGAAGATCCATTACTGAATGTGATGATAATTCTAAAATAAGTAAAAAAAATTACTAAATTACGAGTTCAACAAAGAAAAAAGTAAAACTTTCATTCGCTGTATTTCTAATCAATGCCAAGTAAGCAATGTATTGTTGTGAAGCAATGGCTCAGTAATTTGGATGTTTGACTTTTGCTCACTAAGTCTTAGGCCGGAACCCCGCTGTTCCGTTTATTTCAGTTCGAACAATTGAATAGTATTGTGTTGTGGGTTACTTATATCCGTATAAGTAGTATATAACGGTGGTCAGGCAAATGTATTTCAGCAGAAGATCGTTAAAGAAAGAACGGAAACAGAACACAATTGGTGTGAAAATGTATGGACAATGAGATCTGAGACAATGGACTGATATTTGTAAAAGGAACAGTGAAGTTTGAGACGATGGAATGATATTTTGTAAATTAACTATTTACTATATGGTTCCCAGATTTTAGTGAGATGCTCTGTAATTTCGTGTCAAATACTTTGGATTCTACCCACTCATGTTCTTGTTCACTACAGTATTATTAGCTTTCACACTTAGAGTGTGGTTCATACTTGAGTACTTGGTGAATGAGTTAATGTGATTTAGTACTTTTTTTCGTATGCTGAATTATAGAATGGTATCAGCTTTAAGATGATGTTTAAGCGACTGGGAATCAATACTGACCAAACAAAACTAATCCCCATTTTAAGGTACTAATTTATAAACTAGCCCTTTCTCATGGACCTCAATACGAATTGTCTGTAATTAACATCTTTTTTCCTAGCTCAATGGTTCGTTAGTATAGATTTGATTTGCCATGCTCAACATGTGTCGATATATCAAAATTAATTTACCAGTTAGATAATATTTTGAACTCTACTGTAAACGCACTGACATTCAGCATCAAGTTTCTTTTTAGTTAGTTCACTTAAATACCGACAATAATTACAGTTATTTAACTGCTCGAAATTAAAACTGTTGTAGTTAGATATACAGTTTGATGGAGTCAGAGATTGTGGACAAATAAACGAATCACTACAATCCCTAATATTCATGAAATCATGATCTTAAGATGAGCATTTTATTCTTAGCGAAATATATCACAATGTTGTTAACGATGAATATGACTATTAATAAAACTCTATCATTTTAAGAATGTAATCTGAATAAAATAACAAAACACATTCAAATTATGTAAAATAGATGAGATACTTCTATTCTGAACATCAATGAATGTATAGATGTTGTTATGTGAAATGACTATTGATTTGCATTCATCTCAACGCCTTCAGTTGGATCCAAAAAGTAGAAATTACTATCAGGAGATGATATGACAGAATAGAAGGACGAAATTACATTTTTAAATCATGATGATTTTTGTTTAACATTACTTTCGCTTTTAATTTAATGTATTGATTGCTCAGGGCAATATATTTTTTATTTTCAGTGTGATATTTTGTTCAGTATAACAAAGATTTATTTCGATGTGATCCTAATTTAAGATAATATTCTTTGCATTAATTCAGTTTTAAATTTGCAAATTGAGTTTTTGTAGTAATTCCATGTAATTTCTCTATGTGTTATAATCGTTAACTAATTATCAAGTGAGTAAAATTGATATACAAATGATTGTATTCACATATAATTTTACTTTATTTCCGAAGTAAAATAAACCCGTATCATCAGTCTTTGAGTCCTCAATATGCATGGTTGGATTCGGCCTTTCAATATCAAGCACAAATCAGTTAGGCGTTCCGCAGATATAACAGTGACGGAAATAATGATTACGTTCTATATATTTAAACAAATTACATGAATGTCACACCATTCATACAAACACGTATTACAGAAGTGTCTGATCATACCAGATATAAACATGGGCATATCTAGAATGAGGTAATTCTGACTATAGCACTAAACGAGAATCTTAAGCGATGACTTTGGAGATGGGCTTATTTTTTGTGAGCATGAAAAAGCAAATGACTTATATATACTTTTCTTCAGAAAATTAAATTACTGAAAATAAAACCTTAGAAAATCAACTTATTCACCAGGTACGTGTCTGTGAGTCACATTGAGTGTAAAGACTATTGATACTACTCGGTTACCCAAACCGAGGTAGGTGGACAGTGGTTTGAACTTGGAACTCAGTGACTGGAAGTCAAATCCCCTAACTATTAAACCACTGAAACAAGTTCATACCCTCTTTTAAATTTACAAAACTCATCAACGAAATATAATTTTCAATTTTCAACAGCTTCGAAAAGACAAAATGTTCAGAAGGTAATATCATTGGACGAATAGACCATAAGTTAAAATATTCTTAGATTTATTGTCAAATTTGATTGCATCAACCAATTCTATGCTTTGAAATAATCATTCGTTTGAAAGAACCAAAGAATGTACCTAAACATGCAGAAAGGTGAGGTTTATAGCTATAGATTGGTAGAACTTTCAAAGATAAAAGATTAAGCTATTCTATGAATAGGTATTCCGTCTAATATTTAATAACAGTTTGATTTATCGTAAATTTTAATGTTTCACCAACGAAAAACGTTTGTACATACCAGTGCTCTAACAGTAACCAATGTTTTATCCAAGCCCTATGTACTGATCGAATTATATAAAATGGATTTTAGTCATTTCTATTTTATTCTAATGTAAGATATATGAGGATACTTAATGAAAAGTCTTGGATACGCGATTTTCGGCAGTTAACACTTATCAGCAACGTATGTTGCCCAATTTTTATAAGAATGAAACTTGGGATCCTGGGTTTACTATCGCGTGATGATCCCCTTATCCATAGTTTCAGTCATATTAGAATATATTACAGCAAATAACTTGTTCTGATGCTGGTAGTTTAAATATATTATGAAGGATCAGCTGAGTGTGCTATCTAGTTACATATAAAGTGGAATGTTATAAGGTTTGCAAACATTTAGGGCTGTACTTAACGATTTGATGAGCAATTACGATAAACAAGAAATTATTGCTGAAATTCACATAATATAATCATGTCATGATCGAAGCCATTTGTCATCTGAATCCTTTAGATGATTATTTCCACTTAAATGGTTTGTTATAATTCCGAGTTGATCAATTTATTGACTTAACCACAGAGTTTACCAGACAAATTTTGGACAATCTCTGCATATCGTCGGTCGCTACGTACTTATCCTCATTGTTTGTGTAATTAATCACAGCCTTAGTATTTCGGTACAAGCGGTTTCATAAATGAAAAGCTAAACTTCCTACACATTCAGATATACCTTGTTAGTTAGTATAAAATTTCAACTTACCAGAACCATCAAACAGTGCATGATATAAATGTCGAAATGATGCACTAAGGTCTAATTCGCCCGTTGAAAAACTTGATCTTAATGAGTGATCTTCACATTGCTCTTCATCCTCATCTTCACCTCCGACTACATGTTCTTGCTGTGGATTCACTGTATGGTCTGACTGGATCATATAGAAGTCAACAATCGATGGTGATGTTGAAGAAAGTAATGGTCCAATTGAATTATTATTGTTATTATCTTCATTAACAAAGGTTAACATTTCATGTACATTATTTTTATTGTTACTTCTGTTTTTTTGAAAGTCACTATCATAGTTATACAGAAAGTCGCTATTGTTAATACTTACTAACGCATCAGAAGTAGTACTTGCTATGTTAGCCGATGATGTGTCAAACGCTTTAATTAACAAATCTGGAGAAATTCCAGATAAATATTGCCTTGTATTTACTTGTTGATTCATTGACAACCTATTATTATTGTCTATTGGCAGATTTATTTCCTTATTAGATGCATAGTATACAGAATTCGTCTGTTGATTTGACTGAACGGATATTTTGTCAGATGTATGATTTACTAGATTTTCATATTGATTTAATCTATGCAAATAATGTCTGCCGTCCCTGTTGACATGGTCATCAATAGCTGAGTTAAAACTGGTGATGGAAGAAGTAGTAGTGTTATTAGAGATATTACGTGTGACAGAAATTCCATCATTACCGATTGTATGTTCGTTGTTGAGTATGCTATCATCAGAAGTGATCATTGCAATAGAAGTACACTGATTTGGAAATAATAACCCTGTCTGAAATGAGTCTGATGTATTTGAACCCATTGAAAATCTGGTACCAAGCTGAGGATTATAATTTATCAAATGATCATTCGGTCTAGTTATTGCATTTATCTGATTAGTGTGTAATGCAACATCATTTTTATTGCTACTGTTTTGATTATCATGTTCCATATGTACATTATTAGAAATATCACAATGATTTGGGATAGTAGATGTTGCATTTGATAATATATGATTATTTGATGCACGGGAAACTGGTTTATTTAAATAATGTGAAATATTGTTGGTTGCATTATCATTTTCAGTAATATGTTGGTTTTCTATAGTATATTCATTATACACAGAATTTAATAAACGCGTACGATTAGTTCGATGAGCTTTTGAGTTAGGTAAATTATTATTGCAATGGTTAACGTAATTATTTCGAGCCTCTAAATTAGAGCGATTAATTGTGAATTGCAGGTTATCATTGTTACCATTATTAATCGTATTTTCAGATGTGATTAAAGTTGTATCGTGTGTGGGTGATATCTTTTGCAATTGTGACATGCAACTCAAACTTTGTTCTGAGCATACGGCCTAAAAATGTACCAAACAATAAAAAATATTACTTCGATAATTTGCATTGAGCTTTGTAATTATTCAAGGATGTCTGGTTTTTGTTGGAATTACGTTCTCTAGCCTGGGTTATTTAATTTCGAAACTCGTTTAGTCCTTCTAGACATTGCCAGTGAAAACTAGTTCAGATAAAAAAACGTCGCCATAGTTGTTTTCCCTAGTTAAACATATTCTCCACTATCTGAAATATAAACAAGCCAATCTGCTTATTTTCCGGTACATGTGATCGTAACCTCAAAGTTGTACATAACTGTTTACAAAAAGTGCATACATTGCAAAAATTGTATACGTCAGACAAATCCATATACTTTAAACTCTTTAAAGCGGTTTAATTACATAGAGCTCACTAAAAGACTATAAACAATGCTATACAGTTAACCATCGATTTTGAATAACCTATAAATAAGTACTTTTATGTATACGCGTAACAACAAACCTGCTTTTATGGGATCAGAGATAATGGTTGTTTGATATCCGTTCTATCAAACATTATCCAAGAAACCAGCGGTGAATCTTTGGAAACATTTAGCACTAGACACATAATAAGCATAATCATCAAATACCTTGTCCATACTAAACACTCGAAAATATCAGACGTATCAGTCATTATCAACTACAAAGTGATGATAAACTTTTCAAAAGTATCATAAGTTTACTTTCTTTTTTACTTTTCAGTATTCGTATGTTTATGCAAAATTAAAAGGTATGAATTGGTTGGACGAAATCTCATATATATAACGCTAGGTCACAAAGTATGTGTCAATTACAGTAAACAAAAAATATAATACGAAGGCTGAAGGTTATGTTGTAAATCAGTTACAACATTCATTAACATTATTTAAAATTACTATCGGATCAAAGAACTGCTAGATGATGATTTAGAGCTTATCTTATATAAATAAGCTGAATTGGATAAAATAAGCCATTTAGAATCTGACTACCAATATATCAGATGAGAACAAATAAAACAACATGATGTTATTTGATCAACTTTCCTCAAAAAAATTACAAACAACTAAATGAGATGGTCTTGTTTCATGAAGGTCAGATAAGTACTGCTAAGAAAAATTAAATCAGTGAATAATAAATATCTGCATATGCACTTGCAATGGTTTATTCATAAGTTGGACAACGAATTTATAACTAAAGGGATAGATTCAGAGTGAAATAACAGGACGAAAGACTGCAGTTTGAAAGTATTAAGTGAGCGAAAGAATGGAATAGTTTAAATGGAATAGAGATAGGATAAACATATATCATGTAAAGTGAGCAAATAACTTAAAGTCCTCTTATTTAATTAATCTTTTGATCCCATGCCTATCTCCAAAATACCAAATAGGAAATCACAGAGTGTGAAGTGCACTGATGATCCAAATAGCCGAGTTCAAGAACTAAGATCCCTAAATATATTATAGACAACATAGATTAATATATCTTTTGGATATCAATTCAGATTTAAGGACCTTATAAATTCATCTTATGTGAACATATGTTTATTTCTCGAAAGAAAAACCGATGCCACAATACTGGGTTAAATACAAGGCAAAGTTTGCTTTTTATAATACGAAATAAATCCAGTGATAGTGAATTTCTTTACATACTTGTCTTTTTGGAGCTGAAGGCATGCATTCCTGGTCATCAAACTGGTTAGACAGACACCAATAAGATCCTTTGCCTGGTTCGTCTCGAGAGCGTGGTATTTTGGTAAAAGACTTATTAAGTGATAAATTGTGACGGATAGAATTCTAGGATAAATCAGTTTACAAATGAATATATACCTTCCAGCCACTCCCAGCTTCACAATAATATGGAAAGTTATCGCAGATCCACTGATAAATTTCACTTAATGTCATTTTCTTTTCTGTTGTACTTTTTATAGCACATGTTATCAAACTCGCATAGCTATAAGGTGGTTTACTATCCGGTTGGTAGGGCGTGGACCCACAGTCAGACTCCGTTTTATTATCATCCACACTCACAGAGTCCCAACTGTCCATTTCAAAAGGAAATTCACTTTCAATTGAAGCTGTTAACATGCTTATACTGAGATTTGGAAGCCAATCTATGGCAGTCAGACTATTATCTGGGTCTGTCATAATCACCAGGTTCAACCCATTTCAAAGGAGTAAGTTTATATCACCAACGTTCTAAACAAGGCATTGGATACCAAAGCATAGGTTCAATATATGCTATTTCACTATTAAGCATTAGTAATGACACTTATTATTCAGTTAGTTTTCATCTTTGAAAAAATTCATTTAAATGCAAACAGTTTCTTAGTCAGAAGGTTTTCCCACCCCGAACTTAACTTGATAGAATTAGCATTCACTTCGTTCCCTTGAATCTGCGTCTTAAGGGTGAGAAAACATTCTTGATTATGAGAAAGTATGGTTTAGGTTATAATACCTCCGGAAATGGTGGATAATCCAAATGGAAGCGATTATAAAGGACAATAATCACCCTTCGAACTTACGTAACTAAAGTAGACGTCGATGCCATAAATTTTAGGGATTTTGACCGCAAAAACGTTTGTATGAATTTAAGTCAGAGGCCTTTATAGCTCTATATGAAATAAATGTCCTCACAAGTATGACTGAATGCCAAAATGAATTGATGATCTATTATTGTAAAGTGGATTATGAGCGATAAAATACAACTCTAGGATTCAGATTCAAGGCTTCTAAGCGAGAAGGTTTGACCTTATTTTCGGCCTGGATATCTGTTTAATTGCACTTCTTTGAACATGCTCTAAGAGAGTGATATCGTTCTCAGGGTAGGGGAATTTACTGTAGGAATTCCTAAGTAAACATTGAAGACGGTTTCAATCATTTCCGGAGTAAGATCATCTCATTCTCTAAAGGGAACTTCTATTGTTTTCAACTATGTTCAAAGTATGTGTTTCGAAGAGGGAAATTAGACTCAAAGTACTGTGCCTCCCTGTGGATATCCTTTAAAAAATGTAAAAATTCTTTAGGAAAGTGTGGAGACAATAGTTTTCGAAATACGGACCAAACATTATGTACAATTTTAATGTGCCTTATCACTTTTAAAGAAAACTGGAATGAATACTTGTCTAAGATTACAGAAATTCACACCAAATTTTTGATCTGATGATTAAAAACTCTAGAAGATTCATCAAGTCTATGGAGTCGCAATCCGTCAGAATGAAATGCCTTGGAACGGGGCGTGGTTTATAGTTCCGTTTTCTTAAGTTTATACAACTGGATAATCAATTCGGAACATGAGGCCTGATGGGAAATGTTAGCACCAGATATATTGACTTAATTTTATTAGTAAAGTTATGCTCAACTGCCTGAATAATATTTATTTCGCTCTATTTGAGTCCTTCGAGTTTTCCATTGTTTGTTTACCTTCCCATCTGTTTACCTATTAGTTATATTTCATCATGATAATGATGGATTTTATATTGAAACTCGCTGATCAACGGACACTAGACAGTTTCATCTCGATACGATGCAGATTAGACCAGTCTAGCGCAATTCCGGAATAATTTCACTATTTTACAGTTGCTCGATATTCTGCCATAAAACAACTCCTGATAATCCTAGCACCAATACTGCTATCACACTGATTCAATTACAAAGAGTTTTAATTATAGCGTTAATCCAATTAGACTATTATTGTAGCTAAATTTTGTCCATTCAATCCCACTAGAGTGTGAATAATTCCTACAACTGAACATACCAGTTAATTAAACATACATTCAGGAGCGCTCATACCCCAACGTCTGCATAAACCTTCCGTCACCAATCATCAATTTAAAGTTAATCAATATAAAGCTTAACCATTTCAAATTTTGATACTTTACTTCATAGAAATATCAAGCTTAAGTCTAAGGAACGGCGCTTTGCAACAGATAGATAAAGCTCCTCTGTCAACACCTCATAAACCAAAAAGGAAAGGTTGTCAGTCATGAGTGGTGATAGGAAGCATATGTAGTATTCTTTTTATGACCCTTGAAGTTATAGTAGATGTTCAGTATTCTTCTGGGGAAACCAGCAGAAAGCTTCAGTACTGCATATTCTAATCCCATGAACGTTTATATGTGTCTTTGAGAGCCATTTCGTGTCGCAAATTGAAATTGTCCCCCCTTCACGGTGTAGTCTATTCCCAAAGAGTACCGACAATTTTTGTAATGCCTGTATCGAGTATAACGCAGAACAAAATTTGTTTTTCATGTAACACGAAAGAACCGACTGAGACAACTAAAATCCGAAAATCCAATGCAGGAAAGTTTCATTCAATCTTAAATTACTGTTCTTCACACTTTGAATGATAATATGCAACAGCCATTGAGATCTAATGACCTCGCAAATGAACGGAAAGTGCTGTACATACGGAACCAATTGTTACTGAACGTTCATTATCAACGACGATAACAACGACGGATGAACGTTGACATCTCATATCAACATTTTCCATCAGATGACACTTTACTTAATTGAAACGTAAAGATTCATCTAATGTAAAGAACAACAACAATGAAACTGAAGCAACACTAACTCAGGTAAGTAATGTATGTTAAGACGATGCGTCTTTTTGTGAGGCAGTATGCTTGCACGTGGGAGTACATTTTCATAGCCAGGCTCTGTACCACAACTCCATACGACTCTACCGACTATAACCCAACTGAGATTGAATATTGCCTATATACATGTCTACAACTTCTCATGTAACCAAATTCAGCCAATATGTCTTGCTGACCTTCCAACGATTTCGTTCATGTTCCCAGGTCTCGATCGTGGCTGACTCGGATATGTTTTATCTTCTGCTGCCAGTTTATCGCCATCCCCAAACCACACATAGGTGTGTGAATTTTTCCTAACACTTTCCTTACATTCTTGTTATTATCGCACATTGCCGGGACTCTAACACAACATAAGCACTAATTAGTCTTTATTAAACCAGCTTAGGCCCTATGATCCTAAGCTAACCCATGGCTGGTTTTCTTACTCGTGACATTCTCACATTGACTTAGCACGAATTTAATCTCAAATAAACTATGAACCCAATTAATTTGGCCAGTTTCTCACTCTCTACCTGGTCGAGATAGTCTTAGTAAAACCAATCATAACATGAAACTGAAGGTAAAAATTAGATAAATAAATGCTAGGTGGCAATTGCGAATGGACAGTCAATAAAGTTAATTATTTATTAAATTAAACACAAGACGCGCCAAAATTTTGGTCGTCTTGTTTAATCGTCGACAGGGATCAGTGTAGAAGCTGACGAAACTGAGGACCAACAGAAACACATAACCTGATTATATGAACTACACTCCAGTCAATCCCGAATAGGAAGTCATATCTGCCTTCAAAAATCTTCTGATTCCCGAAATCCCCTGTGATTTTTGCCTGCCCTCCTCAATAAAGATAGCCTACCGACACTCATAATAATCGAGCCACTCACGGTCTGCATGTCCACTGTCCTTACAAGCTCATTTCCACCAACGTGTCACACCCAGTGGATGTTACTGTGAGGTTGTACTATTAGCGATCTGCACCACATCAGCATTGGAGATTTTCTTACAGAATTTAGGATATCTGCAATTCTGAGTTTTCGAGCCTATTCTACATAACAATGAAAATAAACATGTCGCAATTCTATGGGAGAAGATTTATGAGAATAAATGCCTACAGTGCAGAGAAAGTAATTGTCGACGAATGTGCAGTCATTACCCTGTAGAAAGCGGTATTCAGCGCGATGCGTGTAAAGGATGGTACCACGACGTTTGCATAAATATCACGTATAAAGCCTCCAAATGTCTCAGTAAATTGGATGGATGTTGCTGTGTCAGAAACGCTGTTGGGACGCAAAGGACTTCGCACCGGTGACCACTGAAATGGCAAATGATCCCGAACGACACATTAGCAGGCGTTATCGACATAAATCAAACGCCACTCGCTCTGTCAATACATAAATTCATGTGAGATCATCCCGAATCAGCTCAGAGCCGATTGGCTTACACGGATCAAAGAAGGAAAAACAAAATTCAAAATGGTCTGTTAGGAATGGAAACTCAAGAAAGTATTTTTAGTTCCCTCAACTCTAAATGAAAGCTTTCAAGAAAAGCCTAGTCGCAAGATCAGGTTCGTTTCAAGCAGGAAAATCAACAACCTAGCCACCCAATAAATCAACATCGTCCATCGAGTTAAAAATTATGAGATCAACGAGGTCTTACCGGACGGTTTTGACACTTGGTCTTCAAATGATTAGTGTTTAACCTTAGGGTACTTAAATGCACCTAAGATGGAACAGCAAATCTGAGGAATGAGTAGCCAAAAACTTTGTTCGAACGAAGTTCAGTTGACGGTTACTATAGGTCTCCAAGTGCAACACGTGAAGGAACTAACTAGGTACCCCCCGGACTATGAACCATCTTCACTAGGAGCTTCTCACTTCTTTTCGTGAGAAGAGAAGAATGTTGCAGAGATTTAGTTTACTGGGTACTGACGAGACAAATTGCAATATTGGAAAGGTCGAAACATTTGTGCACCAACTATCACTATGGACGTTGTGATCAGTGAAGAACTCGGTATCTTTGATCTGTCAAAAAAATATGATAGGTGTAGATCCATGTGGCCCGATAAAACTCATGCTGGATTATCAAAGAAACTGCGAAATTTTGTTACAAATCCCCAAATTACATATTTTACTGTATCTGTAACCCAAGGAAGATTAGTAAGTCACTGGAAGAACAACATAATACGTCCAGTCTTCAAGGCAGGTACGATATAAAACGACTTTCTTAGTCTCCTATCATCGTCGCTTTTGTTATATGCGATATGGCGAGCCAATCAGAAGTCGAATGAAAAAGTCAATCGATAGCAGTCAGAAGTGGCATAAAGGTCAAGTGCATTTCACTGGGGTCCAAATGGGTTAATTTCCTAAGCATAGACTGAGATATATATGGATGAGTATTTGTGCATTTGATTCACTTGTCCAGTACACTTTCTCACTCATTCTTGTGTTCCTGCCTAAATAGTTAGTTGGGGGTTATCTCATAGCTCTCAAAATAAAGTTGGATCAACTGAAATTTTGCTATTGTTAAGACTTACACGAGACACCAAACCTGCTATCCATTCCAAAATGATATGGATATTATTAGGGTAATAACAGCGTTATATAAAGTACCTAATACGTGTCACGCTATCCAACCAAAAGGAAGTATCACAAGTTCATTAAAGTCGTCAGTATGTTGCTGACTTACGACAACTACAAACGTTATAAATAACAGTTAATTGCCAATATTTATCTGTTATTTTAAATGCATAATAAATCATTTTGAAGAAAATTCAAACACGATTACCAGGATTTTGAAAAGCTGGATAAATTTTTCATTTGATTCTGTTCGCATTTCGCAGAAACACACGTTAATTACCTAGACTTTGTTTGTCAGGTCTAATTTTATCAAGGTGACTCAGCTTAACGGACAAGCGCTTATTTGAGATATGGCTGTTTTGTCGTTGTTTGACCCCTTAATACTAGAACATATCAACTGTTCTGAGTTGATCAAGAAACATGTAGTCCATATAAACTTTCAGAGTCCTAAAACGATTCCGAAAATACGGCCTCTATTATCATCTGATTATGGTAGTTTCATAATTTTGCTATTGATTGCTAGATTATCTTGCTTTATTAAAACAGTTAACCGTAGTTGGGAAGATAGAACAGAGAGAATTTGATGGTAATAAATATTGAAATTAACATTCTTCATTAGAAAGATTTTCTTTGATGGCCTCTTGCTTGGATACATATTTCATTGTAGTTTTAGAAGATGCTACAACAAGTAGAATCATTGGAGCAGCAACTCTCTTCATAGAGTTAAAGTTCATTCACCAATGTTCGAAGGTAGCTGTAAATTTACTTGATATGTTTTCAGCGTGGTCATATTGAGGATGTTATAGTCGATTCAAGATATCGCGGGATGAATTTTGGAAGATTGTAAGTTGCATTTTCACTATATAATGGTTCATCGTTAAGCGTCACATGATTTTAAAACCTGTAGATAAAACCTCCGTTCTATACATTATAATACTGATTTTCTCTAACCCTTCTCATAATCATACTTTTTAACAATTGATTTCTGATAGCACCGATTAGATCTCATTATAAGTTGAGTAAACCGTTAATTTAAATGTTTAATAAAAATCAACGGGAATAAATATGCAGAGAATGTGATTGACCCCTGTATTGTTTATAAGTCTTAAGGTTACGGCCACCCAACTTGTTTTGTATTTTTCTGTTCAGTCAAAATTTACCAACCGTTTTAGACTGCTCACACAATTTAGAAAGTATCTTTTCGAGGGTCTCAGCCTTCATACTAGTTTTTTCTGTCTGTAATAAATTGCAAGTACTGTCACATATCTTGTATATCAATCTGATCTTAATATACTTACTGACAATACAAAATGAATACTCGAAAATTTAAATTGCATTAAAATATTTCGCTGGAGTAGAAAGGTGAAACAAACCCACTAAAAGTACAGACATTCTCAAAATATTTATATTTTAAAACATGTTGAGGAATTCAAAAAGGGATGAATTTTATGAAGATTCAGTCAGTTAGTTGTCATCAACTTAGAGCCTGGGGCAAATTTGCACCGACAAACGCAACACCTCAAATCTGTAAAAAAGTGGAATTAACAGGATGAACACCAGATGAGTTGAAATAATGTGTCCACAACAGTATATTTTAATAAAGAAAATACGGTCTGCAAAGCATAGGTAGAATAAGGCAATTGGAAGTGTGAAATCACATTTCACTCAAACTTAGATAAAGGGAGTAGTAGGCCCATCTATGCGAATGTGATATATTTTAAGTTATGTGGCTTAATGTTTTCAAATTTGGTTGCAAACGCCGAATGGTTATCATCCAGGCAGTCTCTGTCTATCAGCGTGACTCAGACCAACAGTCGATGATCAATCGGGCTGATGTATGTCTTGGTTTAGACTCCTTCAGATTTTTTCCAACCTAATCATTTTCTGGCCAACACTGCATTAATAGCTAGGCGCTAGTTGAGCAAACATAATACATTTTTGTACCATCACAGTTGATGAAACTCATAATCTCATTAACCGGTTTCATCTGTACCTACTGCTTTTTGTCTAAGTTCAAAATTGCTCAATCCTCTGTACCACCTTATCTTAGCAATGCTTCAAAAACATCTGCAGTCAAATGCTAGTGGCCTACCAATTTTCTCTATTTTCGAACGCTGCACTTCATAAACGTAAAGTAAAACAGGGTGGACTACTGTTCAACGTACTCGTCCTTTGATGGTAGAAAGATATCTCTTATGGCAAATTTGTGGGACATTCGCAAGAATCAAGTGAACTCTAAATCCATGCCCACCAACCCACAAGAGCTGATGAGACTTACAAGTGATGCGGTCAATGCTCTCAATAAATTCATTCCTTATAACCAATTTAAACATTAGTACAGAAAAATACTAAAGCATTTCCATTTAGGGAGAGGGAAATGCTCCGCAGCGTCCTTCAGGATTTCAATAAAGTTTGTGAAAGAGTGCATCTAAATGTGTGAAAACTAAACATATGTGCATCGAATTCGTAAGATTTTGTTGAGAGAAGCGAAACCCAGTGACTCGTGAAACTAAAAGTACAGTTGAGTAGGTAACTAGTTAGTGATCTCTTCAGATGTGTACAATATCCTGCAGCGGGCCAAATGCAACACTGTGTTTATCCCACTGATATTGTAATATAACACCTTGGACCTTTTTTATGCTACAGAGCTTTAAAGTATTGGTAAAGTTAAGAATTACTGTTGTTGAGGTAAAACGATATCAGATATTAGAACGTAAACAATAGTTATACAGCGATAAATGCTTAGTTACTTCCTCTATATTACGTCTAAAAGTGCAGAGAGAGAGTTACCAGTTGTTTCTTTCTGGCATTCGTGTACAAATCAACGGATGATTAGAGTTGAAGCCGAAATTTCAAAAACAAAAGTTTCAGACTAAAAAGATGGAGTTGTTTGTATGAGAAGATTTATACGTTGTAGAATGCCTACAAAACAGTGCCTTCCAACCGTTCACGTTAAAGACAATAACGTCTTGGAAAGTAAGACGAAACTTATAATTAGTACTTCATTGTACGACTTAATTGAGAGTAGTCTGCAAGGCCTAGTAAGTGACAGTTCAATTTATCAATCATATTAAGGACTGTTGTCGACATGAAAAAATTTTAAGGCTTGTTTTTTCCACACTGTTTCCTGTAGTTGAAAGTAAACGCAGTTCATGGCGTCAGGGAATTAGAAAACCTTGTGATTATTACAAATCAGTTCGACTACGTCTTAAGATATCATTCTTAGGCCAATGCCACGATGCGAACTAGTTATGGTGTAATAATTTCTGTTTAAACATATATTGACACAAAGAGGCACCAAAATAAAAATGATCCACACAACAAATAAGGTTGTGAAGAGACAAAGGAGGGTGAGGATAATAAAAAAGTAGAGGAAACAATAAATGAATAAAAATAAGCAGGATTTCCAGTGGCTTCTATTCTGAGCCATAACTGATATCGCAAGCTACTGTATTGCACTACCTTTAGAACCCTAACCAGGGAGCTGTGAAGGTCAGACAGACATCATTCCTGTAGTTGTTTTTCATGCCCTGGAAACATCTCATTAACTGATCACCTGTGCTTCCTCCAGCCATCCCTAGGGTCGGTTAATGGTGCATGATGTGGGATGACATTTGCTTAATAATGGCTGGATTTAACAGTACTGCTTCTTAATATGGTTAAAACAGGTATATCTAAACCCAACAGTGTCATTGTTGTGGATAAACTGGAACAATCATTTGACTAATATTACCTGAAAATCTAGCGGAACTGAGCACACATATACACTATGTAAGCATGTGAAGTGATGTATCTATAACCATTAATGAATTGTTGTTATATTATTTGAGAAACATAAAAACCCAGTGATTAACTTGTTTATCTATTATTTCCAGACTTGTTGATACCCTGGTTCATATAGGAAAACATATGGGATGTTATAAAATTTCACTTGATTGTAGTAATGAAAAAGTTGGATTTTATGAAAAATTAGGTTTTCAATGTAAAAATAATATCATGTATATACGATTTGATGAAGATTAAAACTAATGTGAACTTTTGTATAAAAAGAAATCCTGAAAACAAAAACAAAGTCTTTCAGAATGTTGAATAATTTCCGGGAAATGTTTTCAAGTTAATAATAATAAATAATGACACTTATAAAATTCAACTCTTCTGTTATTTAAAAAGAGCACGGGTTCCTATTGCCGGGAAATTTCACTAGTATATATATTAAAACAATTGTCTGTAATGTTTCTGACATAATCCCCACTATTTCATGCACATTATTATCACACATTTCTGATGACGAATCCTCATATTAAACATTACCATCACACACACACACACTATACACAATTAGATAGACAAAAAAGTTTCTGTTTTTAAAATAGAATAATGAAGAGAAAAACAAACAATGTAAGTTAAACAAGTTCCAGGAATTTTCTAATATGAACACTTGTTTAATAATTAATGTTGATCAAGAGTAAATGTATCACTGGAAATAATGTCAACTTTAATGAAAGACACCTAAAATAATATCCATATTTATGTATGTTTAACAACGTTCCAATGCTGCAGTCCATGAATTAAATGGTGTTAATACACTATAACCATCTAAACGTGAAAGTTCATCTCGATGTACTTGACTTGATTGAGCTAATTTACCAATAAGTATTGCTGCATTCCTTTTAGTATCTAATCGTTGACTTTCCTAAAATGTTGAATTATCAACAACAAAAATGAAAAGAAAACCGGTTAATAGTATTAAAACGAATGCATAAAGTATATCTATTCTATTTGAAATTTTACTAGCTATCAATCACTAACAATAGTCGTGGTTGGGCCACGTGTTACGTATGCCTGAACACCGATTACCATGACGTGCAATGCTAACCGGTGTTGGAGATGGTTGGAAGAAGGTTAGGGGCGGCCAAACCAAAACATGGCATCAGTGCTTGAAGTCACTAACTTCTAGTCTGAGCCATGTTGGTAGATGCAGAATACTTGGTTGGGGTCCGCGTGACTGTCGTAACCAATGGTTGGAGACTCTTGGTGACATTGGCTCAGAATCGATCACAATGGCGTAGGTGTATACACTTTCTGTCTTCCCTTAAACTAAGAGATTAAAATCGCTTCATATCTTTCTTTCTACGAACTAATTCTTTCTTCATGTACTATATCCTTATTGCAATCTTTCTTTTATATATTACCACCTCTGAATTAACTACTTTTATGAATCCGGTGTCCATCATGTTGTGTTAATGAGGTATGGCAACTTGGACCGATGCATATATGTGCCTGGTCCTACGTTGTAGCTGACTGACTGAATAGTCGTGATAAAATTGGATTGAAATAATGAAAACAAAATATCTCATGTAACTAATTCACCTGATGAAATTATACTAAACCTAGTATGTATATATAATATAAGTATCACAGTAATCAAAACAATAATGGGTTGCTCATTTTTTTAAAAATTATCTCTGTAATGATTATTATTTCTTTCGACTTACTTGTATCAGTGATAATAAATCATATATTACTGAAGTACCTTGAAGATGTTCAGCTAATGGTGTATCTGAAGCACAATGTTGTAAAACTAAACAAACATTTCCTGCCAATGGTTCATCTCTAGGTGGTAGTTGATTTGATGAAACATTCAATTTACAAATAACTGGTGATTGAATTGTGTATTCCGATAATCGTGCACGAATAAAACGTGCTAAACGTCGAACACGTCGTCTATCATCACCAATTGCATAACGTAAACTAATTGAATGATTAGTACCCGAAGCTAAACAACGAATACATCCAGTAATTAAATGAGATGTCATATTGTTTGTTTCATTTTTCGACTGTGAAATATTTCCATTTAATTGTTGTTGTTCACCATTTACGGATGATGGATTGACAGGATTACGTTTAGAACACGAATCTAATGAACTATTATATATGGGAGAAAAAAAACATACTATGAATGATAAATTTGCGGGAATAACATAAAATTTTGACAACAAAAATAAGAGAGGAATTATCCCCATGTAAATATTAGATGGTCAGATGACTTTCATAGATTAGTCGTCAAGACCATGAAATGTTTTTAAATGACGAACTGTTTTAAATATTTTCATTGTTATGCTCTACAGTGACAAGTTCAAAATTACTGTATTACAAATAAATCAAGAAAGATTAGTTCACCCAAGAGTTCTCATCACAACGAATTCATTTTCAAAGCTGTACAATCACAAATATATACTTACTTTCCAAAATAATAATGATTACAATAATAGAGATAATAAAATTCCTTTTTTGCTAAATATGGTAATAGTGAGGCAAAATAAATAAACGCATACAAAGGTAAGTAGAGAGCTGTCAAAAACAGTTATCGTGCATCTTCTTAGCATTGTTAAACATTTGCTATGCATCTGGAAATACCAGAATTATGTGTCCAGAAGAAATTTGTACAACCTCTTCTTCTACCATGACTTAAATCTCTCGTAATTTTTGTCTTATCTCACAGTCATCTGCTTCCCTCCTATCTTTTTCTCTATAGAATTTTTACTCCTAAGCGATTTGTTTCTGTTTTTGTGATCTTCCTGATTGCAGTTTATCTCAATTTCAGCAATTTATGTTATCACACTGAACCTTGCCTTTCATGATGAATATTCAAGCCCTCAACAACAGAACTACTATTAGTTACTCTGATAAAAAATAACGTTATTTTACCTCACTATTACCATGTTTAGCGAAAAAAGATATCACTATCATTGAAAGTAATATCATTTCAGAAAAATAAGTATTTATATTTGTGATTGTACAGCTTTGAAAATGAATTCAACGAAAAAGGTAGAACTGTTCACTGAAAGTAATCTTTCTTACATTATCTCTCAATGGATATATTCCGTATTACTATTAGTCAAAATAAGGCATATATAAACACGTAAATTAGACAAAATATTAAATTAGTGAACTTTTGCATTTGGTTACTCAATGAATCCGATATAGCATTTCTTTTAATATGCATTTTGTTTACAAGATATATGGTATTCTATTGACTGGAACTAGATATTTCATAATGAATTTTTCTTATCTCTTTGCTTAAAATTACAATTCAAATTTATAAATGACATATTTTGAACGTATTAAACCCATAACCTACGTAAAAGTTTACTATTTTAGCATTTAACATTGTCTAATTCACTTCTACGTGTCCATGGCTTCTTTTGTCCAATGTAATTAAATGTCTGAAATTCTGGTTGGTCAGTGGTCTCAGTAACTACGACAACGATTGTTCAATTTCACTAAACTATGTAAACTAAGGCTACTTTTTAAATACCCTATATCGGATTATGACGATATGATCAACTTGATTCCCCAAATGATTTGATTAAAAAAAACAAGTTTGGTGTTACTTCAATAGATGCATCAATATTTAATCGATATGTCACTAGAAAGTGAAGATATTACTAAAGCCACAACATACTTTCAACTAAATCACAAATTTATCTTGCCAAAATAAAGCTTACGTAAAAGAAGATTGTTTTCTTGGTACTCAGATTGAGATATCTTCATAAGCCATGTAACACAGAAAGTAAATGGATTTCCTATCAGTAAAATAATCAATCCCTTCGACTACTAGTTTTATAAATACACATTATCACAAGCTACGGGAAAGATATACACCAGTTCTTTTCTAATTGGCGTTTACACATCTCATTCAATACAAAAATAGTATCATTTAAATCATGAACCGATCAATGTTAGATCACCATTGAAAACCTGGAGGCACTGTACGGCCGTTTCCTCCTAGTATGTGAGGTTCTTCAGAAGTGCGGACGAACGACCCCACACGAAGGATCGAACCCATAACCCTCAATCTTGAGTGCGAACGCTTAACCTTTAAATCACTGAGTCGGGATCCAACAGTATTAATATATAAATTCAATCATTCTATAACATTTCCCGACCATCTATTGGATAATTTTCTCACACCCGACACGATTTAGCTTCACTGGACACAACTAACTAGAATTCCGGAAATTTTCTCTCGAAGCTAGTCACTAGTGATCACATTATAATTGTCAGTAAGGGGTTGTGAAGATTCATGATTTCAATAAAATTCAATAAACTTCACAACCCCTTATTGACAAAAAATAATACTTCAACTTAAGTAAGTTATCAATATTCTGTTACTATCACAAGCTAGGAAAAGATAACACAGTAACATCATCCGAAATTGAAACTTACCAGCTATCTAAAATTGCAAGAAGTAGACGAGTTCGTGGTGTTAAGTCGTTAATTGACTCAGTTGTAGGCTCTCCAAACCAAGATGTAAGCTAAATAAAGATAAATTTGTGCATCGCTACTAATATTATCATTTGATAGAGTGGAAAACGTTCTTTATAGTTATGGAACTCTACTGGTGTTTAAATTGATATAGGATACAGTAAGTATGCCATACTCGAAAAAAAAACATTTTTCTACTTTTATCATGGCTTCAAATCATTCAAGGGTACAAAGATAGTTTATTTATTTCAACTCATAGATATTGGTACAAAGAGGCACCAAATACATATGCGCCACACAAATCTCATTCGATATGTGTGAAGGCTGTGATACTGCCCGGGTGCCCAAACCGAGGCAGGTGGTTTTCTTAGGAGGCCACGCCCCGAGCCCTTGACCTGAAGGTCTGGTCCACAAAGCAGTGAGGCATCGTAAGGAGATGCAGTCCCATGGTAGCCGGTGACCAACGATTGGTTCATACGCCATTTGTTCCCGCAGGATACTGGAGCCCATGTGCACCATTGGTTTGTGATCCGGTTAAAGGGCCGGGCATTCGCTTTTCGTCCTCTCATTTTCGTAAACAACACCCCCGCCACGAGAAGGCAATGAGTAGGACTTCTCTTCACGTAGTTGAAATTCTTTTTACCGTATACTAACCAGGAATTTTCATTCTTTCACATTATTAATTCCTTTTTGAACTAAATTACTTATAAATAAAAATAACATATTTTGTAATATCCCAGTGAGCATAAAATTTAAATTTTTTGACATTTTGTGACTCACTGTAAGCTACTTCTTCAGAGAATATAATTTCTTATGCTTAATTTGACATGATCATTGATCATACTTACTTTGCTTGATTTGTTGATTTCCCTCTGCCCTATTGACTCATACAAAATGTGACTACAGTTCGATTAGTACACAATTTTGACAATCTCATCCATTGTTTGCAACTTACTATTAACTGGCACACACTACTACTATTTTTTTAAATCCAGAAAAAGGAAAACTGCCAAGAAAATTCACATTCACCAAACTTAATCACTTAGTCAATGTTAACATTACTCACTTGATTAGTATCATGACACAGAGGTAATAATCTTCCGGCTAAAGCAACAACTACAGCTCTCAATTCTGGTCCATGACCAATTTGATCTAAAATAGCACCAATACCATTCAGTAAAGAATTAACTAATTTGCTTGATGTTAAACAAGATGTTGAACAATCATTATTTGGAGTATCTAACAAACTGAAGCTATCGTTATTAGACACCATTCGCTGATCCAATTGTCCCACATAAATATTATGTAATAATCGACAGATTGAAGCGATTAAGCAAGCATGACTTGATTGAAAATAGAAGATAAATATGTGAATGCATAAATTAAATGATCACAGAGGTGAATTGATGAAATACAAGTATTTTTACTTGAACAATTAACAGAAATTTAATGAAAATATTAAATTTGACTGGGATAACTACATGAAAATCTATTCTAGTATAAGAATGAGATGAATGATTTAAATTATGTTAAAATGAATTAAACAATTTATCTGATCCGTTTCTCTCTCTTATACTCTATCTCATCAATTATTATAATATAGTTTTGATGCATATCGTATGATCTAGGAAGTTATTTATCGATCTTAGAAGATATAGATCATTAATTGATTTATTGATTCATTCATATTTGATAATTAGAATTAAACACTACTACTAATATACAACATAGTTGTATTCATAAGATCTAAAGTCAATGATTTCTGGTTAATTATTTCAAGTTTGTTTGTCTTTTCTTTTGTATGTAGGAGTGTGTCTGTGTGTATGTGTGCAACAATTAATTCTGTTGATATTCTATTTTCATTATTTCTATTTCGAAAATTCAATTGAACATATGAATTATAGCTAGCAGTGGAGTATAAGTATGGTTGGAGACTCTTGGTGACATTGGCTCAGAATCGATCACAATGGCGTAGGTGTATACACTTTCTGTCTTCCCTTAAACTAAGAGATTAAAATCGCTTCATATCTTTCTTTCTATGAACTAATTCTTTCTTCCTGTACTATATCCTTATTGCAATCTTTCTTTTATATATTACCACCTCTGAATTAACTACTTTTATGAATCCGGTGTCCATCTTGTTGTGTTGATGAGGTATGGCAACTTGGACCGATGCATATATGTGCCTGGTCCTACGTTGTAGCTGACTGACTGTGGAGTAAAAGTTACACTTTTTATCCTATTTAGGACTCTTCAGTTTGATATTTACCTTTTATTCCAGTGTTAATGTTTATATTAGGACTTGAACTCAATACCTTTCGCTTTAAAGGTCTTAGGTGTTATTAAGTCAACTATTGAATTTAGATAGTCACTAGTTAAAATGTTATTTCAATAGAAGCAACTTCAGCACATGTTTATGTATTCCCTTATCAGCTGTACTAAATGTATATTGCATTAATGAATAAAGAAAATAATGAGCATGGTCGAAGATAACACTCAGATTGAGACTGTAAAGTAGAAGTTAGTAAGAATTGTATTTTTATGAAGTTAGTTATATATTTCGTAGAATCTATACAGTGAATAGTCTTCGGAAGTTGAAGGGAAGAAATGGAACTAACAGACAAATGAGGACAGAGACTTTTTTTAAAGAGTGGTAAATGAATGTCAGATGACATAAAGTAGGTAATTATTGACTAGGTGAATTAATATAATCGGATAACGAAAGAGATTTTTACTAGTATATGGGTTGTGGAGATTATTGAGTTTTTGATTGAGATCATGAATTGATTGATGTTAGACCGTCACAATTGAAAACCTGGAAGCACTGGACGGCCGTTTCATCCTATTGTGGGACTCCTCAGCAGTGCACATCCACGATCCCGCGAACGGGACTCGAACCCGGGGCCTTCGGTCTCGCGCGCAAACGCCTAACCAACTGGACTACTGAGCCGGCATCCAATGGTGATAGTTTCTAACATCAACCAATCCACGAAATTGCGCGACCAACTTCCGTTGTACTGAGGTAGATACCTGTCTCTACCCGACAAGGATTAGCTCCACTGGTCACGGCTTCTCACTAGAACTCCGAGAATTCCCTCACGAAGCTAGTCACTAGTGAGCAAATGTTGATTACTAGTATAGGGGTTGTGGAGATTATTAAGTTTTTGATTGAGATTTTAATATGCGTTTGAATGAGGGGTTCGAGATGAGAAGTTATATAACTAGGTGTTTGAAACTCATGTTACCAATACTTGCTAACAAGTAAGCAGATAAGAGTGATTCCACTGGTAAAGAGATGATAACTGTTAGATTACGGTTTCTGTCGTTTATGTTTGGAGATGCAAATAAGAACTCAGATTTTATTTACTTCAATATATTTTTTATGCAGAATCGTGAATTGGTATTCACTAATGGTAAGTTGTTCTGATTGTCTTTAAGAAAACTAGTATAGAGTTCGAACTACTTCAATTGTTACACAGATGATGACAACTCGTGGGCCAAGTAAATTTGTACTATTCCACGACAATTATTACTTTTGTGTTCTACGAAAACTTACGCAACGCAATAATTACAGAAAATATATTTAGTTGAGAAAAACTATACAGTTAGGATCATTTATTTGACATAACTTCACTACCATGTCATAGATTTTAACAGTACTTGTGACAATAAGGTAGGTTTATAACCAAATTGGTATTAATGGAGTAAACTTCGCGAAGCAAACGAAGACCACTCCATATTCAATTCACAAATATTCATAAGTGCAAGATCGAGCCACCAACCTTTGGAAATGATAATAAATAAGACATTCGTAGCCTTTCAAACAATTAATGGCAAAAAAATGAATCATTCATCAGTGTCATAAATGGAAGCTCCACTAACTTCCACTTTATCATCAAATATGAATCAGTGGTTAGTGGCTCTCAAAAAAGTGATGAAATACACTTTGGTAAATGAGATTAATGAAAATATGGTAATAAATTATAATACAAGTTGAAATAATTGAACAAACCTAGCATCACTCAGCAGTGGGACATGATATGAAAGACAATTAGATAATCCGAATAATAAAGCTTTACGACTTTGTAGAATAGTTTTTTGAAAAGTACGATCTTGGCAAGCATTGCCTAAACTGTCTAACAAAGTAGCTAGACACTGGCATGTTGTCGATGATGGTTGATTGGTATTAGTAGTTGGAGATGAAGAAGTTAAAGCAGACTCAATGATTGACAAAAGACCTTGTAAACCTTCACTAGAAGATCGAGCAAGTATCTATGAAGTAAAGGATACACATATTTGTTTAGGAAAAACTATTAGTATTAAACGTAGTTAATTACACACAGAAAAAGTCGGATAACGCACTTGAAAAATTAAGTGATGGTTTGAAAAATAACCAAATACGTAGATTTAGGTAAGGGTTTTAAAAAGTATGCTTGATAATTGATAAATACTTCAACTTTAATTTTTACCACTTTTCATCGTATAATGATTCATTTTGGATAATAGGTGTGGTATGAAGTAATAATAATCCAATACAACTCGTTGATTATGCTTAACACTCATTCATTTCTCCAAGAAATATTGCAATATTTATTTAAACAGGAGACGATAAGTAAAATAGCTTAGAATCAGTTACAATGGTCTAAATGCATTCACTAATCTTTATTTTACTCTACATTATGAATTCCAGTATTCCACAATAAGTACCTTTCTACTCCGACTTTTCAAACAATATTCTCAATACTTGGTCTTTCTATATTATCGTTGCTAATACGTTATTTCGATACCTCTGACATTCATATTGTTGATTTAATCTCTCCGAGGTTATGTGGTATGAAAACTAGTGCTAATGCACATTTGTATCGGGTTCTACAATGATTATAACTTATTGACTAAAAGGAAAATATAGACAGATAGTTGTTCCTTGATTTCTGTGGTCGCGCTCCTAAGTCGCTATGATTATCGCTAAACCAGTTTCTTTTTCAAGTCCACCACGAAGTTATCCTTCATCAGTATGGGTAACTCAGAAGCAAATACTGCTCCTATTCCGCTAGAAGGACACGAGATTAAATCTTCATTATCAAATTTCATCTTCATCAACAAATATTATTTCTACTTCTATTATTACCCTTTATTTTCTTTCACTTCAACATTGCCACTTATGCTAACAATCCGAGTTTATAAAACGTTGTCCCAGGAAAAACACTCAACTATTTGTGATCACCTACATATACAGTAATAAAATATAGTGTGCAGTTGGATTATTTTAATTCAATTAGGTTCTAAAAGAATATTGCCATTACATAAACTAATATACAATAAACAGTTTCTAAATGACAATGACATACTAACTAGTTATTATTAAATAATGATTAGTATCATTTTTTAGAAAAACAGGAATAAGCTTATTTGAATACGTATAGTTAGTAACAAGAAACAATTGATAGCAAGGGATATCTACAATCCTGAGGATTGGAAATCGCTTAAAGTAACACTAAGTACACACGTCAGATATAAGAGGCCTTGAAACGCCTACTATCACAGTGTAGATTTAATAAAATACTAATAGGAGTTTTGTATACTTGAATTGTTATCGACGTTGCAGAACTTTTAGGGAAGATAACTGAAATGAAGTAATAGATAGTGTGATAATGAAGACGACAGTGCACAGATCAATTAGTCAGATTTTCTAAATCAGTTATTTGGACATTTATGGGAAATTGCGATTGTCAAGCAAAACGGTGGTTTAATCGCTGAAATTTTTACGAATATAATTTTTCACCTTATCTTATTTTGACATTTCGCATTGAATTTGAGGGTGGCACTTCAAAACTTATATTTTCAGTAGCTAATTAACAAAGGGCATTCCTAACCTTTTTCATAAATACTTAAAGAGTTACTGGAAATATATTATCCTAATTTATTTACCAGTTATTTTGCATTGTTCAGTACATTTTGGCTAATTACATAGCTGAGTTAATATGATTAATAACCAACTAACAAATAACCACTGTTCACCAACCGATCTCTTATTCTAATATGATAGAAAATATTAAAGAAACATTTCATCTATCTACTTGAATAGTATAAAGTTGATTTTCATAGGCCCAGGTAACAAAAATCTTTGGTGTCATATCTTTTTATCACTCTTCATACTTTTACTATGTCTACTATTCTCGGATTTGTTCTAACAATTTTATTTCGCTGTGCTAATAAGGTATGGCAGTTTAAGCCGATGTAAATACGTACCAGATTTTGTGTTGCAACTGACTGATTGACAGGAATCAATAAAAACGTAAATATCAAATATTAGAGTACAGCTGTATTATTCATACATATAATCAATCTGTATCCTTTGTTACACCAAAATATAGACTTAATCACACGAAGTGATTGACCCAAAATATAGAATCTTATCAATAAACAGTAATTTATTACTTACAAAAAGGTCATATATTTATATCCAGTGATTTGTGAAATACAAATATGGACATTTTACCAATATGTATGTTTGGTTTGTGAGAAACATACATTTCAGTTTTAATTTAACTATGTGTGCTTGGATGGACTTATATCTCTCAGTACTGATGTGAACAACAAGATTTAGACAGAGTGTATACGGTAGTTGTTAGTCAATCACATGTAATACATAGTCTGGTACATATATATGTATCGGCCTACTTGTGGACAATTTAAAAGTGAATTCAGTGATTTTACACTAAAAATGAATGACGCTATATCAAATCCAATTGATTCTATGGATAGTAATATAGATGATAAGACACCACTAGTTATAATAAAGAGATCAGTTGTAGTATATTCGAATATCTACAATTCATTGGTAACCGGGCTAATAATCTATGTGATATTTGTCTAATTCTTCAGTGTTGGTCATATTCCATCGACCAGGCTACAATATGATTAGTAGTCTACAGTGACCCGATATCATGGGTTTCCTGTAAACTACCTTCAACCACCTAATATATCTGAATATTAGGTAGTTTATATCACCAAAAACACATTGTCACCATATATTTCAAATGAGTCACAATATTAGCAAATAATGCAACGTATTGAAAAGAATAATGATCGAGTTTGCAGATTGTGATGACCAAATCTAGTTATATTAGTAGTAACACATGCCTTCACGTTCTACCACGATATGGAAGCTATTCAGAGAATAAAAGCGGCAAACCTCAGGTTCGAAGACAAAGTCATGGTGCTAAATATATTGAGGTATGACAACAGTAAAGTATTTCTTTCAGACGAAAAGCGTCTGAAGTGATGCTGCCTAATCGCAACGAGTGAAGAGAGGTTAGGAAAATTCGGCCTTAGAAAACAGTACACCTCACCTATCCCCATAGACTTTAGTCGTCAGTGGTACAATATGAGTAGTTGATTACTTCGAAAGTTTATACAAAATAAAACCTAACAACCAATAGTTGTCTATTAGAAAGTTCAATGTTTCAGTCAAGCTATTTTATTCTTACAACAGGATCAATAAATTATTGTCCAAAAATAAAATGGAACTTTCAGCAAATTTACTAGACAATCTATACAATACGACCTGATTACATATATATGTTTACTGATAAGACTAACATTGAAAATGAAATAATCAATAAATTTCTCACTGATTACATTTCGTATTATTGATGATGAAACAAGCTTAAAGAAAGGTGAGAAAGTAGACGTTATGATAAGAATAGACAAGATTAAGTAGTAATAATAATAATAGTAATAAAGTTAACATTCCAAATTTACTGCTTAGGTCATCCGTCATAATCTAATGTTAGTCGATAATAAGTGCATAGTGGAATAGACGGAAAGAGTAATAATGATAATAATAATAATAATAATAATAATAATAATAATAATAATAAACAGTTCAAATAACTTTTAGTTATTCTTTAGAAAACGTTTCATAATGGGTATTTATTGACCACTGATATATTAGGCGGATTATTACAAGTGACTAAGATGAAAGGGTTATATTTTAATTCAAGTTCAAGTCATCTTTGAAATAAATTAATTCTTTTTATTGACGTGTAAGCATTTAGTGTAGTTTTCATAAACTAGCCAGTCGGTTATAAGTAACCTAGAGCCTGGCATAAACATAAGTTAGCTCTAGTTATCATATCATAACCATATAAACACAAGGAAATGATATTAACACGATGAATAGTAAACGAGTCAAAATAATGCATTAGGTAATGATAATTAGGAAGGCTAAACATTGAGAATATAGTTCAAGAATTATGAATGGAAAAAATATAGGCAGGACTAACAACTACAGCAGCTTGCTATACTGACATGATGATCGGGTTTGTAGATTGTGATGACCAAATCTAGTTATATTGGCCGTAACACATGTCTTCACGTTCTACCACGCTATGGAAGCTTTTCGGAGAATAAAAGCGGCAAATCTAAGGTTCGAAGACAAAGTCATGGTGTTAAATATATTGAGGCATGACAACAGTATCGTGTCTTTTTCAGACGAAAAGAGTATGAAGTGATGCTGCCTAATCACAACGAATGAAGAGAGGTAAGAAAAATTCGGCCTTAGAAAACAGTACATCTCATCTTTCCTCACGAACTTTAGTCGCCATCGGTGAGATGTGAAAAACATTGAGGTAACACATCAAAAAGTACTCACCAAAAGATCACGCATGACCTGCTTTCGAGCAGTCATTCCTCGGGTTCTGCATTCACGCCCCCACGTTGTCAAGGTCATCACTAATCTTGTTTTAGTTTCGATTCCTTCAGAAGGAAGTATCCCTCCATGGGATGTGCAACCAGAAAGTAACAATCTCCCCCTTACACTCTTAACAGCACTCGACATCATACAAAGAACCAGTCAGAAACGATTTCGTGTTATAGTTTAGAAAAACTGGAAAAGATTCTAACTGGATATTTAAGATATTTTAAAAAATTAACCTCCAGAGTTTGGTCTTTCCACATGAACACGACTAATTTATAAAGATAAAGGAAGTGTTCAAAATAATGGGGAAAAAGTAGAGATAAGCTTCTAAACTGTACCCTTATCTCAGTTACTGTGCAGTAAAGGAATAACCTATTCGCTAAGTACAAGTCTACGTACATCGTATTGAGGCACATCATTTGTGTAGAGGCTAGTGTTTTCAATTGTCTGTCACAGCCGAATTAGATGGAACTGTGTTTAAAGTTGAGACGTTCTCGTTAGCTGGAAATTGGGTACTTTGAATGACAAATGTACATTGAACTAAGGGTCACGAATTTCCCATATCTGTTTTAAATATAGACTAAAAATAGGAAACTATGTCTTTCAATTTAAATTGATTCCAGAACCTTTGGACTACGGAAATTTCCGTACATATCCCCAAGTAGCTAGAATCGGAACTTATATAACATTAAAAGCGCGCTAGTTTTTCTGAGCACCAATCATATGCTACAATATGTATTGATAAGCAATGATAATCTAGAAAATAAAATACGCATCGCCAATAAATATAATGCAGTCCAATCAATGTGTGATTGACAGCTAACTGGAATGCCACATTAGTAACATTAAGACTTTAACTGGTTGAAGGTAGTTCACAGGAAACTGTATTCGAACGAGATTTTATGTTAGTTGATACTTGACAGCAAAGCGTGCGTGCAATCTTAAGGGGAATGATGCTCCATATAGGATTCGAACCTCCACTACTCAGCTTCAGTTTGAGATGTCACTACTGAACTAATCGGGCCACGAATAAACTCCTACAGGATTGAAAAATTTACAATTGGTTGACTGCTGATTAGTGATCAATGTCATATTTGTCTAAACTATTAATGATAATCAAATTTCATCCATCAAGTATGATCACTAGGCTGAGTGACTCAACACATTGGTAAATTTTTTCATGAAGACGAAAGCTAATGAAGTAATTACTAAGAATAAAAAGTACTTCTTACTTTTCAGTATTGTCGATTACATCTAATGGCTGGAAGTTACAAATAGTAATCTGAGATTGGGTAAACCACATAGAGTAAATTCGAACAGATGATTACAACTCCTATTCAAATGATTACAGAATACCACGATTATTATGTTTTTTTTAAAATCATACACATGCTTTAAACAAAGTATAAGTCTGGATGGAAAGTCACAATTTTTACTGAAATCCCATTTAAGACTAAGGGTAAAAAGAACAAAATTATTTTCAGAAGGGGTTTTTATGGATATTATAGTAGTTTCAATAGTTGAAATCATGAGTCAATTGAAGCTAGACCACTATGGAAAGCCTGGAAGCACTGGATGGCCGTTTCTTCCTAGTATGGGACTCCTCAGAAGGGCACATCCACGATCCCTCTCGCGAGATCCGAACCACAGAACCTATTGGTTTCGCGCGCGAATGCTTAACCTCTAGACCACAGAGTCGGTATTTATTAACATTGATATTTTCACCGTTGGATGCCGGCCGGCTCAGTGGTCAAGAGGTAAGGTGTTTACGCACGAAACCGACAGGTCCTATGTTCGAATCTCACGAGGTAGGGTCGTGGATGCGTGCTACTGAAAAGTCCCACAGTCGGACAAAACGGCCGTCCAGTGCTTCTAGGATTTCCATGGTGGTCTAGCTTCAATTGACTCATAAATCCAACCAAAAAATTATATATATATATATATATATATATATATATATATATATATATATATATACATAGCCAGAGAATATTTTTAACAGTGAAAACCACAAATCATTGATTTTTGTGTTTATATATATACTTATTTACACTTACAAGGAATCTTGAACTTTCTGTTAAATACTCCAATATTTGTGCAGCTTTTGTAGCACAAACTGAAGCTATTGTCGATGAAATTAAATTGGATTTAGCCGTGTCTATATTATTACTATTTGTTGTACTAGCTAATCCAGATGATGCCGACAAACGGCCAACTAATCCACGTGCTGCATCAGCTAAACTTGAAGTGTTTGTTGGTGTTAAGTTTGGAGAAGTCACTTGACAGGAATTGGACATTGAAGTGGATAAACAACTTGCTAAACTTGTCAGAATAGGACCAGGTCCATACATATCTAATAAAGATTGTCGACCACTTGGTAATGAAGTCAAATTAACCAACAAATTACAAGCAGCTAGTCTAAGTGCACCAAGAATATGTTGGCTTCGTTGTTTTTCTATTGTTAAGCTGTCAATTGAGAAGAAAAATTAAATATCGGTTATTTAGTCTATCGAGTTACAAAATGTTTACAATAAAAGGCTATGTTAATTCCCACAGTACTGTGGAAATGAATTAGTCAACGAACAAAAAAAAGTGATTGGTTAAATGTTTGTTAGAACTTTGATTATAACTAAAACAGCCTTAATCTCATGGATTCAATTTACCCCAAGGTCACAAATAGCAATCATTATTAACAAACGAATTATATGTCAAAAATAAGTTAAAAATAAAAATGTCGAAAATATAGTTTGGAGAAAGAAGTATGTTATCAAAGTTAAAAATAATGACGGCAATTTGTCTTGAATATGGAATTCAACAAGTATTAATGATAATAAACAAAATAATGAGTTTCGAAAATACGAAGATGATCAGAATTTGTGACATATTAGCGCAATACACTTCGAACAATTTGATCACACATAATATATTTGACAATGTTATGCGTTAAAAATAGTTAACGTTTGCATCTGTTACGATATATATATATTCTTCAAAATTATATTATTTGCAAATTAGAAAGGTCATTCAATAAAGGTCAGAATGATTTAGAGTAAAGTGTTCAGTCACAATAAGTAGAATAGTATTGTAGCAAAAATGAAAGTGCAAAAAAATTGTGTGAATAAGATGCATGGTAGGAGAATTAAATCTTGTCAATTGAGGTAATAATAATAATATTGTTGTGTGAATATAATATGTAATAAGGGGGTAGTTACCAAGATAATTACGATAAAGGAATATTTTAACACGTGAACTCAAAAGATCTGTCGAAAGGACGTTTCACGCCGCCAAGCTACACATAATTTTCTCAACTAAACCAGTACTCATACAACTAATCAAGGATAGGTTACCGAAGATGGACTCCTCCATGTGTGTATACCAATTTAACTGCTCCTGTGGAGCTAGTTACATGGGCCGTACTTAGAGGGCTTTATCCTTGCGTGTTCGTGAACATGTACCAGCATGGTTGGCAAAAGGAGTTACTAAATCGATCAACAGCACTATTCTTTCACACTTGGTAGATAGTGAACATCATATCAAAATAGAGGAAGCTTTCTCTGTTTTATATGAAATTCCGAAATATCTACTTCAAGAAGCTAGATTACGATTGCTCTACATATCCGAAGCCATCTGGATCAACTTCAGAAAACCAAACTTACGTGTCCAGAAAAAGTATATCCAGCTTCCATCTTTGCCTTGGCCTACGACTAGATCACCGGATACCTAAAATGAATATTATAAACATCTTACCCCTCTTTTTTATTACCTCTATCTTCACATTCATCATTCCTAATTCGTTTATCGTAATTACCTTGGTAACACCCCATATTATATTCACACAACAATATTATTATTATTACCTCAATTGACAAGATTTAATTCTCCTACCATGCATCTTATTCACACAATTTTTTGCACTTTCATTTTTGCTACAATACTATTCTACTTATTGTGACTGAACACTTTACTCTAAATCATTCTGACCTTTATTGAATGACCTTTCTAATTTGCAAATAATATAATTTTGAAGAATATATAGATATCGTAACAAATGCAAACATTAACCACTTTTAACGCATAACATTGTCAAATTCATTAATACATGCCTTATTTTTGGCCTTTGTAAAATATTATAATTATGGACTTATAGCTGTAGAGCCTGATGATGAGGTTATTGAAAACAATTGTTCGTTCAAATATTCTTCATTTTTGAACATAATATATTCGTTAAGAACATTTATATGTGATTTTTAAAGGTCAACTAGATAATCTTCATCTTTTTATTACATTATCCAAATCCATTTAAAAGACCAATTGCTTTAAGAGTCATGAGTGTTGATTTGTATGATAAATAAGATGCTGATATGGTGTGGCTACATTTTCTAGTTATGGAAACTTGTCTACTTAATAGCATTTAAGTAATATATTCTCGCTATTCAAAATAAATGTGCAAGACTGAAATCAATAGTGCGAAAAAACAAGCGGTGTTCAAACTTGCTGAAAAGACTAGACCTGGTGATAGTGACTGAGTACAAGTGGATGAAAGGTTTATTTTCTTATTTCGCGCACATATTGAGGATATTTTCTGATATAAAACGTTTTATTGTATGTGTGAATAAATATATTTTGAAGATGTTATGTTCTTGATTCGTTTATTTGTGATATCAAAAAATACTTGAATAAAAAGGGAACAATAGGATTCTTTCTACAATTGACCAGCAGATTGTTGTGCTGAAAAAAAATTTAGTTGGTTGTTGTCCATAACTGTGAATTTGTTGTTTCTCTATTTGCTTGTGACTGCTTTAACCTCTGATCATGAATTTATTTATCCTTTTTTTTTATTGGTTGACAGATTAGGACAATTTCGATATGGTGGACGATACCTGTAGCTCAATATAAGAATCTCGTATGATGTTTTGAATTCTCCAAGCTATCATTACAGTTTGAAACACATAGCACTGAACTAGAAAAATGTCGTAATCATACATAAATATGACAGCCAGTCGCAACGTAGAACCTAGTACGTACGTACATCGGTTCATGTTACTATGCCCCATTAGCACAGAGGGATCAGATTGTCAGGACAAATCCCAGAATAGTAGAGGTAGTAACAGTATCCGTTGTAATAGAAAATATTAAGGATGAAAGACAGAATTTAAAACGTAAACTTTAAATTAATATAAAAGCCATGAGGAATTCAGAAGCCCATAGTTTGGAGGAAGACAAAAAATATAAATACGTGTGCCATCGCAAACCATTTTGAGTCATGTCATTTAAAATCTCTAACCAGTGGTTACGATAATAACGCTGACCCTAATCAAGTAGTCTGCACCTACAACAACATGGCTAAGTCCAACTGTTTGTGACTTCATGGACCGATGCCATGTTTTGGTTTAGCTGCACCTAGTTTTCTTCCACCCTGTTCCCACATTAAAAAACATCGTCTGTCGAGTTAGGCGGTGGTTGGGGATACGTAAAACACGTCCCAACCACCTCAGTTGATGAAAAGTAATAACTTCATCAATGATTTTCCATCCCTACGAAGTACCCGATTTCTAACTCAGGCATTACTTCGCGGCCCTAAAGCATATGAGCAATACCTTGAAGATACATATGATTGAATACTAGTAATATACGAATATCCTCCATTTTTAATGGCCACATTTTACACCCATAAATTAGGAAGGACAAAACTGCTATGCAGTAAACACATCTTTTGGTTGGCGGACCAACATCTCACCTACGTCAGTTGGCAAAATCCAATGATAAATTCAAAACGTTAATCAAACCCTTAAATTAAATAAAACATTAACAAACTTGATATTTTCCGATGACAATGACGACGGTGTTATTGTTGAATGAAGTGTTATACGTTGAACAAACTCAGGTGATAAATTAATACAAGCAAATGTAATTTTAATTAAATTCGGTTGATGTTCAATGAGTAATCGTTGATTTTCTGCACAATTTGTTGTTAAATGATCTGCTAGATTAAGTAAAGCAAGCATTCTCTCAGATTCATCAAGTAATGAGTTAGAATTGGTTTCATTTACACCATTATCTTCTCTTCCATTTCCAGTTATGTCATTATTTTGATTAGATGTATTGACATTTGATTGTTGCATTAACATCTCTTTTTCATAAATATTATCTGGATTGAAAATTTGATAGATTGCCTGAAAAATTCAATAATAAAATTAAAAAATTAAACCATTTTTGAAAGGAGATTGTTACTTGGATGTTTGAAGTCAATCAGTTAGTCGGTTAAATACACATATATAAATCAATTCAATTTATATAATATATAATGTAATATAATCAGTAGTAGTGGAAGTTAAGTATAGAAAATGATTTAAAGAGAAAAAATGGATTGACAGAATTCTTTTTAGAAAATTACGATTGTTTAGAAAGTTAGGACATAAGCAAAGAATGGGAGTGAGTGCACCTGTTCCATCGCGAACGATTTTGAACGGTGTTACAGAAAGTCTTTAACCATTAGTTATAAAAGTCGTGTTGACCCTAACCAGGTAGACTGTGAACTTACATAGGCAGCTCAGTCCAATCATCAATGATTTCATGAACTGATGCATAGTATTTAACTCTTAATATATAACCTAGACATACGAAAACAATGTCATCGTTCATTCTCTTTCAAACTGTCCTAATAATATACACTAGGGTTAATGTGTACAGAATGTTGTTTGTTCATATAACAAACATGATTGACACACGTCAGCAAGGGGTGCTTGCAATCTTGAAGGAACTAATGCTGAATGTGAGATTCAGGCATGAGTCATACTGCTTCTCAGTGAAGCGTTGCCAATGAGCTAATAAGGCAGTCACTCAATCATCAACATGGTTTGACAGATGAGTGTAGACCAAAGACACTATACCATAATAGAACGAGATGAAATTAAAAGGTATGGAAAGGTATGTATGAAGAAATACAGGAAATGAAGATCGAGAAAAAGACTCTAAAACACGTCATCACTCAATATCTTCAACCACTGGTCACGGTTATCATGCGAATCTCAACAAATTTGTCTTCATCCATCAAAACGGATCAGTAGAACAGTTAAACATCTTGTTGACTGATGTTAGGTTTTCTTTTTAGCTGCTCCTAAATTTGGTTTCATTGACTCGCTCCCACGCAACCAGTAGCTATTACTTTATATCACTTAAAGTAACACTAAGTACACACGTCAGATATAAGAGGCCTTGAAACGTCTACTATCACAGTGTAGTTTTAATAAGATACTAATAGGAGTTTTGTATACTTGAATTGTTATCGACGTTGCAGAACTTGTAGGGAAAATCACATTTCACTTTCACTACCAAAAATCAATACTATACTTACTTTATGTCCTATATTGATTATACCATAGGAATTGATTTTTAACACCAATGGTTGCAAGTTTGAACCGTGCTTCATCTACTTTGGTTTACGGATGCAATCGGGGGCAGTATCACTAGTACTCAAACAGTGAATCTTAAAGCCGAGTACGTAAGTGATACATTACATAAATTGGATGAACAATAAGGGAACCAGATCCAAATATGATGCTAAATTATAAACTTGTGATCAAAGCAGTATTTAGCATAACCTGACTAAAAATGACATTACTCTTCGTGTATTTATGATTTATACATCGAAATTCTTAAAATACTACAAAGTTTTAGACTGGAATATTCAATAATACAGTTTGGAATGGATAACAATAGCGCAAAGTTAGATAATTATATGGTGTTGTATAACTGTGATTGGTTGGTTGATAAATAATGTGTGTGGGTGTAAAAAACTTTACTATTCATAAAATTCCAGGTACAAATGAAACTTACATCAACTTCTTTACCCAGAAGGCTAAATCCACTTTTTATGCGAAAAATCGTTTGTAGCTCTGACAAAGTTTCAGTGGACAGATGATTATCGATGTTGATACTACTGGAATCATCAGAAATTGGTGAGTTATGTTGTGCACCTTTGCTTTTTTTATTAGATTTCTTTTTTTCTGAATTACAGTTAAAAGATTCTGAAGGTCCAATTTTTGAGTCATAAACTGTATTGTTTAATTCTGTGGTTGTTGTAGGCTTAGTTTTCGGGGCATTCATAAAAAGACGATTCATATAGCGTAACCCTGCGCTATAGTATCTAGAATTTTGATTTCTTCGAGCTAATTGAGCTAGGAGACTTAAAAGTTGTTGGCTAAAAAAGAAAGTAGGCATGTTTCTTGAGAAGTGATTTGAAAACTATAGTAATATTTACAAATGAAATTTACTGTGTTAATATCTCTTTAATCTAAGACATTATTACCGTTATTACTATTGTTAGCAATTATTGCCACAGTGACTTTTTTATCACTTTAGATTAGTGATTTGAGCACTTCGTTTCTGATCACATTAAGTCCCGGGATTGAACACTGTCCCACTTATTTAGGTTCGGATGGTATCACTAGCCGTTATACACAAGCAGTGTCCCAAAGCGTAATAAATGAACCTGTGCTTGACAAACTCAATTGCATTACATAGTTATTATAATATCGACGATTAAGATCCCTGATGTTTGTACAAAATAAGTGATAAAATCACAAATAAATACTTTAAAAAATATCGAAGAGCATTCTAGTTGTAATCTAACACATTTGTTGATTAAAAATTCGTAAAATAATAATAGTTAGAAATCGCTAAGTTAGGCAATAAGACTATAAGTAAATTACTACAAGATATCGAGCCTAGAATTGAATGGTAGTACTATACTGCCAGGTATTTGATAAAAACTTTAGATTACGTGGTTCTATAAGAACTACTTTCTGTGTTGGTGATGTCACCAAGTGTTTATTTGATGTAGAGCTGAACAACTCTGTAGTCTAAATAATTATTTGACAGACATTCGTTTTATTTCGGTCTGAACGGTTCAAAATATAGATAACAGATGTACAAGTTAAATCCTCATAAGAACGATTAAATTATTGGTTTTTCGGTTGAACTACAGCAAATCCTATTTACGTACGAATGAGGACCCAGTAAGGATAGGACAGACTGACGACTTGGGGTGACTTATTATAGTAAGTCTATCAGAAGTAGCCAAATAAGTTCACTTGAAAACAACCGGAAATGACTTGAAGGACAACCGCATATCATTGGCTAAGAAGTGGGTCCATTTTCTAAGGCATATCGTTTGGTAGCCCAATAGACTTTCTCTTCTACTCGTCTTTTCGCTTAGTTTGAAATCTCGCGCAAAATGAATAGGGCGTTATCTTAATTCCTACTAGTCAACTCAAGGCCATCATTAAAATATACTTTTAACGAGAGTTTTTTCAATGCGATGCAACGAATAGGAATTCGAATAGATCGGACGTTTATCGCAACAACATTTAGACGTTAATCATCCATACGCTAATGGAGGTAGAGGAAACAGGACTTTCAGGATAACATTATACTTAATGTAGACGTCGAAAATTGAAACGGGACAACTGTTTTTATATCACCGCGTAATGAACTTGGAGCACATAATCAAGCAAAGTAAAAGCGGTAACGACAAACCAGGTAACGGTAAATGTTATTGTGGGAATATGATTCACGAAACTTTCATCGAGTTTATACTTGATAGAATGAACTAACATGGAGTGACAAAAAGCTACATCAAACGTGGTTTGCACTCCAAATGAGTTTTTAAAAAAGCATATATTGGTTAAGTTTCTCACTAACGGAAAAAAGATAAGTCTGTAGCAACTAAAAGGATATCACAAAACACTAGATACTACTGATAGTATTGTGATTACGAATGTAAAAACTAGACGACAATACTACGTTTAGAATACACATATAAATGAAAGGAGGAAAGTTTCAAAAAGCTAAACTTAGATTACGGTGAAATAATAAATGATTTATAATTTTAAATAGATTCAATGAGAAAGATTAAAGAAAGCAATAAATCAGAAAGATAGAGAATTATTGATCACACTTCCTAAAAGTTGCGAACATAGTTTCACCCACCTTTGTCATTGGGCTAAACTATTTATAACATGTGAGTCTTATTATTACTTGCCAAATGCTTATTTTGCCAAGTTTATTCATACTATAATTAAATGACAAAATCGACAACAAACATATTCACGTGAGTCTCCACCATTAAGAGCTAAATTAACTATCTTCAAAATTATTAGTGGTAACCGATAAATACTAAATGTCAACAAACTTTACGTGGGAGTATTCGATAACAGGCTGGAATAATAAGGGTGACAAAAGTGAATTTTTACAAGAAAATTTGCTCCAGTAACCATGGGGTTTACAAAACCACCAATTTATTCAACGTTTTACCCAAAACTATTATTCGATCTACGGTTTGGTTATATCTCTAGTATTGATCCGAAGACTCTACGTTTAAATAGAACTATTCAAGTAATTTTCACGATAAAGTAAAATTCAATAAAAAACAGTAGGACAGCTGAATATCTCTAACGAACATCACTACTCATATTCCATAAGTTCATATGAAACCAAAGAAAGCTCTTAGGAAACTGACGACTTATTTATCTAACACTCTACAGTGACAGACATTACCATAGAATATCTTTATTGAAGGAAACTAATGTTGAAATTTTTTTAAAGTCACACAAGATTTTAAGAATAAAGCTAACTTTTTGAAAAATTAAAAAAATCAGTACTGTCATATGACATGAATGGAATAAAATGAACAATCATTCGATGCTACAAATTCACTTTTACATTGAATCGACTATTGCCTATGTATTATACATCTATATACAAATGAAAAACGTTATATTATAATTTTACATCATAAGAAAGTATGAAATTTTAATGAAGTTTTGTTCTCTGAGCTGGGTGGTTTGGTCTTCAGACTTCTATCTTGAGTTTGTGCTGACGATGTCGTTCAGATGAACGATGAAAGCTCTACGACCAAACCATCCAGCTTAGAGAACAAAACTCCATCAAAATCATCCACCTGAGCTACAAATCTTCTCCACCATCTATGAAATCTTATTTTCAAAATTAAAAAAAATACAACTGTGATTGATGTTGTTGACTGATCATTACTTTTTTTATATTGCAGTTCATTTGGGAATTATCGGTGAATGTAATAGATTAAAGTCGACTTAGTCTTGTAAGCAATTATCAATTGATCGCATCCTAATCAAATAATTAACCTTGTAACTTTCATCATGTCATACAATAAATCAAAAACTGTTTACATTAAAAAATGTAAAAAAAACATTAAACAATTATGGAGCAGTCATACTAATCAGATTATATTATGGGTTATTGAATAATCCTTTTTACGTTTTAGCAAGAATTAAAATACAAGTTACAAATATAAACATTTGGATGACCATTTAGTTATTTGAAGGTCCCGAGTCTGACTTCCGGTGGAGAAATGGATTCGCAATAATGAGGATCCCCGTGTTGTGAACATGATTTTGGATGCCGTCAAAGGTGTGGAGACGATCATCACTTTCTGACTGAACACGCTATGGAAGGAAGTCTCTTCTTGACAGACCTGAAATGGAAATTGGATTAGTTGTGATCGTAGGGACCTCGTAGCTTGACTATAGAGCGCACGGCCTCCTAATTGGAAGTTTTTCATTTGTTAGTCTCGAATCTTAAAAAGCCTTACAGTCGGAAACAGAAAGCCGCGAAGTAAAGCGTGACATTTTTAGGACCGACTTTTCTTCAACTCCTTCTTTCCATTGAGAAGGTAGTAACTATGCAGACGCTTGTTTGCTGAGAGAAATATTTTACTCTAGTACGGTTAGCCATATGATTTGACCATCGGAACCTAGATTGCTGCTTTTAGTCGCTGTTCTTCAACTGACCTGCCTCGTACGGTAAAAACAAGTGTTACAGTCGACATAGCTCGGTTAGGTCATCACAATAAATAACCCCGAATACTACGTTAAGGTAGTAGATGCGATCCCACCAGCTGTCTCAAACTTACTTGACTGTACTAGCAAAATATAAGAAACTACATAGATTAAAACAAAGAATCAGCATAAACCTGATATTAATGACTAAAACTAAAAAGAAAAGAGGATTAGACAAAGATCACCAACCTAGAAGGAATATTATTCGAGTTTTCATCATTCACATTTAATTTAAAGCCTATGGCTGATTGGGCGAAATTTGCTTCAGCTTTTGCATCGGCTTCTTGAGCAATTAAAGCAGCTTCAGCTTGTGAAACATATTCAATCAAATAATTTGGCCATTTTTCACTATTCAGTTTTGTCGACGTATATTTTTCAGTTTTTGATGCTGAATAATAACGAGATAATGAATATGCGGAAAGTGCTTCTGATGGTCGATTAAGGGACATTAATGCTTTACCACGATGTAAATAAACTTTAGCTAGACGAGGATTAGAAACAACATCACGATTATTATTATTCACCATTGTAGATTTTATATCAGAATTTAGTTTTTCAGCTTCTGGAAATAGTAGTAAAGCAGTGTCACAATCTTTTAGTGATAAATCAGGCTGACCAAGACGAAGATAGGCCTAAATATTAAGAAAGAGAACCCGAAAATAAAAGCATCGATGCAGGAACAACATAGGTGAATGTTTTTAATTATAAAGGTTTTTAAAGTTAGTATTTAACCCTGAAAAGTGATTAATTTGTGGAAAATGTGCCCGAAAACTTAACGAATATTGTTATTATGTGAATGTATACGTGTGTTTACGGTTAAGTTTGATAAATGTCCATAAAACTCTCTGTCGATAGATCATTGATGGTTTAATATCCTATGAAAAACTGTACAACACTTTTTTTTGAAATGACGGATGTCTAGTAATTCTCAGACCGATTATAAAAGGAAAAATTTGTGTCTTCATAATTACAGTGTGACTAGAATAATGTTATAATATATTATGAAGCGAATAGTTACTTCACTTGAAAACAGGACACAACTTACATAACAACTTTCAAATGATTTTATAACAAATAACATAAACTAATCATTAAAAGTGTCTACTTCTTTACAAGATACAGAACGGTATGAAGCAGAATAAGACATCAGTAAAGTGAGAAAGTCAATAACTGTTCACTAACTGATACCAATCTAGCATTTTAAAGTCGATACTATTGTTTTGAGGCAAGAAAGGCTTAGGAATTTTCATGGTTTCCGTTTAATGTGCTTACATGTTTATAATTGAAAAGGCATTCAGGGTTATGGCATATCGATAAACATTGACATATGTTTAGAAGTGATCTACTCCCGCGAACAACTGACATTGTTAATGGTTTAGTAGATATTAGCAACTTGTCTAGACGAAGTAATCCAGAGATTTTGACTTAATATAGATTCATTATGATAAGAAAACCTTCCTATACACTTTACATAAACTGTTATTAAGCTTTCTGTTATTAGAGACCTGTTAGTACCCTGATGATGTATGGAATCCATATTAATTAATGTGGAATACATCTAAACATAAGCGTACTGCCAACTGCTGCTCAATTTTCGTCACATGAGACTTTCAATGAAATGTGATCTTCTGAACCCATTGAGTGATACATGAATACGGTGAGTTATTCTTACAATCCAAATACAAAAACAGTTGCATACAGACCAATCTGTTTCTATGCTTAAATTAGAAATCGGTAGTAAATTAATTGCGTGCAAGGACCTTTTTAGAGTTACATTAATCCTGATTTCTAGTGAAATCTCTATGGAGGGACAAAAGATAACCCTAATTTTTGTCATTTACATTCCGTGTAGAATAAGCAGAAAATTCCGAACTATGATAAAATAATCAGCTAATTGCAGCGATTTTTTAATACTCTAAGAGTAGGAGGCACAACTAATGCAGTCAGAATACATGAAACGTTTAAGGGAATTTAACTCAAAGTATGCATTGTTGGTGTACGGTAAGATCATCACGTATATACTAATGATAAAAAAATGGTTTGTTGAATAATTAAATCAAATTTGAAAGTGACGTCGTGGATTTGTGCAGAATGCGTAGTAAATTTCAAGGGACGAATGAAGTCAACGAATAAAAAGCACGGAATAACACTCGACTTAAAATTTAAAGGGAGGTAAGGAATTAACCCAACTGCGCCACTGCGAGAGACTTTCAGTAGCCTTATCAAACATCTCTAACCGCTTAGTAGTTGGGAAATATATTCTGGAGTGCTACTAGTTCAACAATAAGGTAAATATGAACTTTTCCGAGGTAAGAAGTACAGCTCATGGTTTTTTCACTCATTCCTAGTATTTCCTCCAACAGGTTGGTGATTTCCTTTACATTTTCTGTGCATGTCCATTTGATTTAGATAGACGAACTGTTTTCCAACCTTTGTAATGAAACGGATAGAAAGGTGACCTGAGTCAAATAACTATATTTATTGAAACCCAATACTTACGGAAATTTAAACCTCCATGGTGTATTCAGAAAATAGTTGTACTTAAACTAAGCTTTGATAATATGGACTTTAATCTTAGTGTTAAGAGCAGTGTGAATAACAGTCTCTTATTATCATTTTTTTATGTTTCCATATATCTCACTTGTTTGTGCTTTTTATGTGCACTAACAACCTAATATGTGATCAAATTGTATAAAATATATCACCCTGATAAATTGTATGATTCTGATAAAAATTATTCTCATGACGAATAAGAAAACGATAAGAATGCAACACAATGTATATTCTATTTTATTAAAAAGTTGTTAACCTTTCATGTAGAAATACAATGTGTTTTCAAACTCATTAAAGGGATCATTCTTTACACTCATGAAGTTTTGTGTGAAGTTGACAAAATACTATGATTTACGATGGGTGAGAGTATATCATATATGGCATAATTCAGTAGCCACCCACTACCAGAAAAAGGAATGGACCTCAAAAGAAAAACAGTTGTGATAAATATAGATTGCTTTTCCGGCGGAGCTAAGCGGGAGTAAAACCGTAAATATATAGAGATATGAGAATTGGGTATGGAAATTTTTGTTGAAGTCTATCTAAAAAGGTAAAAATGCTGTAGGATATAAGAAGATACCATCGTGTAAAGGCTAGAACATATTATAAACCATACCTATCTCTTAATTTAATAATCAGCATGAAAAAATGCTGTCAGTTTTACTTGTAGCTTACTTGAGCTCTATTAGTATATAAAATATCGTAATCCTTTGCCACATCGATTGCCTGTGAATACAACTCAACAGCTTTTTTACAGTTTCCAGCCTTGAAAAATGCATTTGCACGATCCTTGAGTTTATCCGCACGTTCTCGTTGCTTAGCTCGTCGCTCAGCACGTTCTTGTGCGTCCTGTGCAACTGCAGTCATAAATGCAGTCACATCATCCCCTTTTCCAGTTACATCATCTGTGTGGAAAAGTTCCAAAACCAGTAACTATATAACACAAGAAAATTGTATCATTTGCATATAGTGAATGTAGATTCATACACGTTCTTTTGTCAAATTTCCATGGGAAATGTATATGAAAACTGTTTCTCATCTGAATAAGATAACGGGTAGGAATAATAAGAACAGTGTCAACTGAACTACACCTAGGTGTGGCTCTGGAGAGATATCCATCTACCAAATAAAGGGTGTGTAAACTGAACAACAATCCGCTCTATATTACTTTATGACTGAAAGTAAAAGACATACATGCACCTCACATTTTTGATCACAGGTGTCTTAGAAATATTGTTCATGTTTTGAGGAACGACCGAGTGAGTTAAGTACCAGGAACACTTGACAAATAGGTTGGTGAAGTTGTGAACCTTCATTAACTAAATTGGTCTGGACGTGTCAAGCATGACAAACCACTGAAAAAATCGACATGAAATGTTGGGTAGAGCAGGAGTAAGATGGAAGAAACCTGTAGGCATCTAAGCCAGAACATGGCATCAGTCGATGAAGTCACTGACTGTTGGTCTGAGCCATTTTGGTAAATGCAGACTACTTGGTTGGGGTCCTCATGATAATCAAGATCAGTAGTCGGGGACTTTGAAAAAAAATCGATCACAATCACTTGCAATGGAGCAGATGCATTCATTATTTATCCTAAGTTCAAGCATTCCATGATATAGACTTTTTCACTCTGTCTTCTCGAACCACATTTCTAATGTTCAACCTTCCTCACTACCATCCCTGCCACATTATTTCGATCACTTTTGCCATTCATCTTGTTATTTTCACTTCATCCTGCTTATACAATAATGACAAAGCAGGTCAACGTACATTTGTGCCTAGTTCTATCCTGATTATGAAGAAAAAAAGTGTACACAGATCTAAACGAAGGGATAAGAGTACAACAAAAAGTATAGGGAAATTATAAAACTTTAATTTATCGCTAACGTAACCTTACACCAGTACATTTGCACCAATGTTTTCTCGGAAAACTATACTGACTGCAGTTCAGATGAAGGAAACGCTATCTAGTAGAGATGAAGCTCACATCAGCGGTGTCAGGTTTGGATTTTTGTCAGACATTACTCTTTTTACAGAAAAGTAGCAGGGACTTTATTGATGTGCATATATATGGGTTCGCTGTATATTAATGAATTAATAGGAGTTTTCACGAGTACAGATACATCAGATTCCTGTGGAATGCTGGAAAGCGCCCCAGATTGAATGCTAAAACAGCCCTCAGAGTAGTACTCCAAGAACTTCATGAGTACGACGTGAAAATGTCAGTGTAGTAGCTCCTCCTAAGGACTAAAAATATCAAGTATTTAAGGAGTACGCCATGTGAATAAGGGATCAAAATTGGTCAAAATTACAATGAGATCGTGTCTGTTAGCCCTGAACTTATTTTAAGTGGCATCACTAAAAACAGGACACATAGCGCACCCAACCAATATTGATCGTTTCCCGTCAAAGAGGAATAAGCCACTAAATAACACAAGAAACACAATTCTATGCACATATTTCAAGTGAAAGACACAAACAATAATTATTACCTAAGTTTTTTGAAGGTTGGTCCAATTTATTGATAACAGATCTGTCAAAACCTATAGTTACCATAAAAAGGAAACTGGCGTTAGCACTTGCCATCACTGCACTTCTGTTTGAGAAAATCATCGGCTTCTTTGCAAGCTATGCTAGCAACTGCACTGTCTTCTGAAGAAAGCCTTTGCACTAAATCGAAAACTTTATCAGCATCCTGTAGTTTTTTCAGAGACTCTTTTGTCTTCATGACGTTCAGCGTTTTGCAGGTGTGCGTCCAGACTTAAAGTACTCTGTGTGTTGGGAGGAGTGTAAGAAGCAATTTATGGTGAAATCTGGATGAAAGAATAAAAGAAAAAGTTAGCCGACGACTCTGATTACATGCGATATACTCACGTTTAATAATCAAAACAACCAACGGCAGTCAGTATTAACGAAGTGGTAAGATTATGACAATCTGATAAAGGAAACGAGTTGGTAGCGTAAAGTCTCGAATGCGTCGCAAACACACAGACCGCGCCCAACAAACTAACCCGTCCTTTTTAAATTTACCCCCACTGTAGCCCTTGGTATTTATGATTATTCCGTTGAATCAGATGCCCATATTAATCTTTTTTTAATATTGACTGTATTATCTTTCTTGAATGTGTTGACTGAAGGGCTGGAGGTTATCTCTTCTGATAGTCCTCACACTAATTTTGCTTGGAGGGCATTTTTTTGGCAAATAACGTAAAATTTCAGATCATAGGGTATCAACACTTCTAGATATTTCTCAACTCGAGATACTTCCAGAGATAAGTTACCGAAGTTGTATTTGTAGTCTGCAGCATGTCTCAGATGGACATTGAAGTTTTGCCAATGAAATACAAGGACCTATTCGAATCCTCATATTTTCCATCAGCTTATCACAAAAAAAAGGTAATAAAGCAGGGTATTTGTAGCTGTAAATATATTCCCAAAGTAAACAGTTCTGTAAGTCTTCGCCATTGATGCCAAACTCACTAGTTTTACTCGGCAAACATGAAGACTCTCAGCCACACATTCGGACCAGGTCACGAATCCCTTCCAACTGTTAGCAAGGCTATACAAAACGCTTCTCGACATATCTATGGCCTTGTAAATATATCTCCGGATTCCTCGATTTCATGCTCGTCAAAATCACCCAAGGTTACTTAGTGCAAAGCACACTAACGCTACCGACGTAGATGATATTCTACTAGCTAGTCACTTACTGAAAACAGATGTGTATATAAGAATACTGCCTGCCATCCGGAACATTCCTAAGGAATCTCTCGAAAAGCTTTTCCGAGGAAGAAATATTACTTTGCAAGGTGTACTGGAAAACACGGACCGTGATCACACTAACCCTGATATTGGGGAATGTAAATTCATCAAGCAGTCCACGAAGCCTAAAATCACATTGACTCAACAAGTGATGAGACTAGCTAAGAGAGACAGAAATTCTAGACACCGGCTGATGAATATAACCTTTCCATCCCTCACATGGCGGCTGCAACTCTGGAAGCATTTCGTGCCAACAAATGTCGGTTGCCAGCTGGAATCCATATGCATCCGGGCAGGCCACACGACTTTAGGACGAAGCACAAAGACAATTTGGAGCTGATCATTCCAATTGCGAACTGTCTTGATCATAAAAACGTGAAAAGGGCAGGGGCTGCTAACTCGAAACACCTTTCATAGTTAGGCTACTTGTCCATTCACGTACGGCTCATAAAGACAAAGAGGACGAGGATGCTCACGCTTTTCAAATTGAAAGCATAACCTGCTTATACATGAACACGGCGAGTTTACCTAGTAAAATGGAGGAGCTACGTGAACTCACTAATGCTAATAATGCGCATCTGATAGGAATATCTGAAACTTGGACATCTCAGCTTACGAACCAGGAGCTAGCAATACCCTGGATGTCTTTGTTTCGCAATGACAGAGAAACAAGAAATGGGGGTGGAGTAGCCTTATACATACTATCATGCATAGAGGTACACCAAGTTCACAACCAAGAGTTTATTAATCTTGATGAATCCGTTTGGTGTTCAGTAAGATTATCTGTAGTGGCATTAGGCCTTAACCACACAATCCTCAATGCTGAACACGAGGCGCTTGAGAAAATAGGTATTCAACATTTAACGCGGAGAAAAACCCAACGATGGATAAAGCGGGAACAATGAGTTGAATTAATTCGAGTTGATTGAATGGCATGGTTCGGCCATGCAGGCGTGATCCCTGTTGGATGTTACTTCATATCTTTTACTCTTATTAACCATATTGTTCTATCTCTAGCCTAAGCTTGTTCTCCATCATATATTGGTAATTGTTACGATACGATGAGTCAGTGTAAACAATGATATGGCTTCCACATTAGATCTTATAGATAAGGCAGCTATATCATGACAAATCTGCAATTTTAGGATTAGGTCGATTATAAGAGCAGTATTAATATCATAGTAGACCATAATTCTACAAGACTACAACATAGGAGTGACTTTTAGGTAGCTCTAAAATGAACATGGGATGTCCACATATTTAGTAGGGTTATAGATTAATGGTAGGAATTAGGATTTGCTGTTGAACGTTAGTGTTCCGAATAAGATTTGATATTTTCACCACGAACTGACATCAGGTATGATGGCAAAATGGTATTTAACCAAAGGGTGGGTGAATTTCGCACCAAAATCCAAAATCTGCTATCTTGAATGTGATTGGTTCGTCCCTAAATTATTATCTTGCCTATTATTCTGTCACGACCTTCGATTCATTCTGTATTGGTTCTCCCGAACCTCATTACTGATCGTGACTATTTGATAAGTCAGCATAAACACTGACGTGGTTTCCATGTAAGATCTTGTACATTAGGCAGTCATATCATGGCAAATTGACAGTCTTTGGTTGGGTTTGTGATTCTGCTGGCACGCATAGATCTACTGGTACTAAATAATACGAAGTTCTTGACATTAATCGCGGGTTCCAGCAGTTTGAACGACGACGTTATTCCACCGAGACAACTGAGTATCAACGTTTCGGTCAATAAAGGACAACCTTCGTACATCTGTTTGGTATTCACTCCAAATCCATACCAACCTTAGCATATTTAACATTAAACAGAGTGCTCGATAAAACCGACTCCAACATAACTGAACGTCCGTCTAATAAATTTTCAGATTCCGATGCGTCTAAATGCAGAAGACCGACGAGCTATATTTTATTTGATTGAACCAAATTACGGGACTATTGCGTACCTGAGAATTAGTAAGAATGTTCCCGATGAGACAGGACTAGCTATCTATATACAAGCGTCAACAGCTGGCAATCAAAAGTCAACTATGGTTGATTATTTTTAGCCCTGGCCTTGAGTTTGGTCAAACACGACTTCATCAAAGTCAAAGAGTAAAAGACCAGTCACAAAAGAAAAAAATAAAACCTGGCCAAGCGAGTTCTGAGTAACTGTCAAAATGCACGAAAAGGAGAGAGACTAAATAAATAACAGTACCATCTGAAAGATATTTGAAGGCATTTTCATAGTGTTCGTTCTACTACAATAATTTTTTAAAACGTTTCGGCGAGTGTTAATGGAATCGTCTTTCTCAAAAGGTTAATCCTCGAATCAGCTTGTATGCATAAATCTCCGAATAGTTACTTCTCAGATAAACCATCTCCCACAGCTATCGGAAGAGTAAAGAATACCACTTCTTAATCACCTCTGCTGTGATGACACGTTATCAAGGTGTTTTCATTTCCCTCATTATGAGGAGAACAGATTCAGCATTGTCGACAATGTGTAAGGCTTGTATTTTGATACTTACTTAACGTATTATAGGTGACACGAGAGTCTATCACATTTTGCCCAAGTCTGATTGGTAGGTTTGTAGTGGCATTGGACAATAGCCACACAATCCACAAAGCTGTGAACACGAGACTACTCAGAAAATAGATATTCAATATTTAACGCGGAGAAATACCTAACAATGGAGAAGGCGCGAACAATGAATTGAATGGACTGGAGTTGGTCGAGTGGCATGGCTCGGCCATGCAGGCGTGGTCTCTATTCATATTAAATATATTGTTCTTTCTCCAGCCTAACCTTCTTCCTCATCATGTATTGGTAATTGATACGATACAGTGAGTTGGTGTAGTCGATGGTGTGACTTCCACGTAAGATCTTATAGATTAGGCAGTTATATCATGACGAATCTACAAATTTAGGATTAGGTCTATTATTAGAGCAGTGCTAATATCATAGTAGACCATAATTCGACATTGGTGAGCCCAACTAAAGAAACGCAACCTATTATTATTAATCCTTATTTCCACTTCAACTTTCTCGATCGATTTTATATTTATGTTAACCCTGTATTCCAATAGTCCTCTGATTAATGCTCACATGCATTATCGTAATGTTATATTGATTAGTCCTCATGACAAACTAGCTCAATCGATAATAACTGGTCGTCTATATTAACTAATTAGCTTTGATGATTTGTTAACAAACTGTAATAGCATTTACATGCTTCAGCGACATAGTCTTGTTTAAACATCAAGCTCTAGCAAATATGACCTGTAAATAGCGTAAATATACATTGACTAACAATGCGATCAAGGACTAAATAGTTATCTGGATCTAATATTCAGTGTTCCTTATCTTATTACCACATCCTGTTTTAAACTATACACTATCCTGTAATACCTTTTCTTCCGACCACTGCCTGTCTAATTTCATATTCTCGAGTTCCATTGCCAAACAACAAGGATGACACTTCTCCAGAAACATACGGTGAGTTCCAGCTATAAGTTTTCTGCAATCATAAGTTCATTTTAGATGGCACACACAATTATCTGGATTCATTCAGTTGTTCTGATCAGAGCGAGTCCCAAAGACCTCAACAGCATCAAGCACCCTGGAAGTGATTGCCATACTGTATGTTCTGGATGCTTTTGGATCATTACTACTCCTCACGAATGGCGTTATATATGTCGTCCACTGAATAATCTAATTTTCAAAAATAATCCAGGCGAGTTCAACTATTTTACTGGATGATTTTTTTTACTTAACATGTATATGTTTTCCGGTTCATTTTGCCATATATTTGTAAGTGTCCCCAGGCTAAATGCAGTAACTTCTTATGGAATGTTTATAACGCATCATATTCCTGCCTGAAGTTTCACAAGCAGTCTAAACTTTAAAACTATTTTCTGGTCATGTTCATTATTTTTAAATCGTCATATACGTCAACAACCTGCATGTTAACCTGGCCCATACATACGTTACACTATATCTCCATGTCTTCTAAATTTAGAAATCATCTGGATCGCCTTTAACATTTATCAATAAACCCATCATAGTCGTTGTTGCTAATCGTATTTGGGTTTATGGATTGGTTTATCATATTAGCAGCCTAAATTGCGAACATAGTTTAGATAATAAGATTAAAAATTTAGGTACTATCAACTGCACTAGTGAAATAACTAAATCCCCAAGTAGCTGTTGGCTAAACA